GTTTAGGGGGTGGACCATGAGCGGCTTCGTGGAAGATCAAACCTATGGATCTTCTGCATTGGGTTTTTCACAAGGAGTTTGTCAAGGCGCCCTTCCCCCCTTCCAACCCAGCTTAAATATACGCTCCAAGCATGGTGGTGTTTCATTCAGACGCTGTCTCCCCGACAGACCTGGTCTTCACCTGAGAACGGCTGTTTGCGTTGTGGCCGAAACGTCGTGAGAATTATTTTATTATGTTTTATTTTTATTATTTTATTATTTCCCTTCTACGTGACTTTACCGAAAGAACCAAGAAGACGTTTGAATTCAATTCAGCTCTCCAAGCTTCATTCGGGTTGAACTCCCATTGTTGAAGGTTAAGCGCATGGCTCTAAAAGGACTTGCATGACTTCAGGCGATGACAAGCGACGTTATAGAGGTCCTGATGATTGGGAAGGTGGCTGTTTTTCTAGATTTCCAGGACTTCCCGGAGGGTTGTAGCGTTGTGGCGGATTGGTGGGAGTGAGATGTGTGGACAGAACGGGCAGCCATGTTGTTGGAGTCGACTTGAGGGTTCCAGTTGTAATGAGAGCGCCGTTGCCTGGATATCACTGGTCAACAACAACATTTTTTTTTTCTGGCCTGGACTTTTGCAGCTGTTCCAGACTAATTTCAGGGTGCTGATTCCAAATCTGCTCTCAGATTTGCTCAATCACATCTCATTTTATGCTATCGGCATACCACATTTTCATTGATTTTACCCGAAATTAACTCTGTCGCTTATGATTGCAAGTTGTTGCGAGTCAGTGACTGCTTTAGTGTTAAAATATAGTGCTGTATTTTTAGGATATTGTGTTTATAATATCATTTTATGTAGATATCCACATTTTTTAAATATTTTTCTTCTGCAGTTTTTATTGAAAATGCAATATTTGCTATCTCAAAAACCTGATGTGATAGACAAAAACAGATTTGGAATCAGCACACCAAAATTACCTTAAAACCGTTGGAATACCTTATGCCAGAAAAAGTGTGTTGACCAGTGTTATCAGGGGGGAATATAATTACCTTACAGGCCCAGGCTTATCTCAATAGTGGGGTTTCTATCTAGGTGAAAGGCGGGTCCACCAGGGAAGCCTCGAGAACATTCGGGAAGGTTCCAGGAGGGGCGTGGCCAGAGGCGGGGCTGGGCCCCGGGAGGTGGATATAAGCGGGACCCCGAGCAACGCAAGGGGTCGTTGATACAGCTATCGTGCTGTGACGGTTCCACCTGAAGACGGAAGCTTGTGTTGCCTCCGAAACGTCGTGATTTTAATTTTATTTTAATTTTCTACCTACGTAACTTTACCGAAAAAAACCTAAGAATATGAATCCTTGCAGTCACGAAAGCTTCAAATCTAGAAGCAAGGGGTCGGTGCGCGAAGTCTGACGAGGAGCCCCGCCATCTCCACCGACCACGTGGCGGCTCGTTCTCCGGCCGCTCACTCGTTCCCTGGCGCACCGTCAGCCAGCGGTGTGTCAAAGAGCAAGTGAGCGCCACGTGGCGCGGGGCAGCGTAGCCACCCGAAGGTGGAGTCCGTATAAAGAAGGAGACGGAGACTGTGGATGTACCAAGCTTTATTTGAAATGAACCTACGAAGTACTTGCCGTGTCCGAGACCACTCATTACACAGTGATACACCGCATTGCAGTATTCAGTTGCACATCAACAAGTCGAGTGTGACTACTGGTTCATACTGGTGCACAATACCCGGCTACAGAATACACCGTCGTTGATGTCCATAGCATTGGTGCTGATGCACCAGTGCTACCAGTTTCTGGACCAGTTTGACCCTTGTTTTGGTCTTGGCAGCTACCTTTCTTTAGGTGGTTGTGGAATGTTAGCATATGGTCGTTTCGCACAGTGTTGCCGCAGATGGTTACTTTCATAGTGTGCCTGGCGCTCCTATTATCAAGATGAAATGCATCGACTGTTGTCTTGTTTGGATTTGGTTTGAGCCTCTATTTCCGGAAATATTCCCCCCATGGTGTTTAGGTCTGCTTCAGAGTGAATTCGATGTTGTTGAAAGTGGAAAGGTCATCCGCATATACAAATTTTGCGTGATCCTGTTGGTGACATGTCGCTCGTATAGACATTGAAGAGCATCGGCGTGAGTCCACTGAACCTTGTGGCAATCCATTGTTGAAGAACCAGAGTGAGTTGTATTTCTTGCCCTTTATAGACTCGCAGCCGCTGATTGGTCAACATCGGAGGTGTTGGAGATACCACAGAGAAGCGCTTGAGAGATGCTGCCCGAACCGGCGCCACCAAATTTTTGCCAATTTTTATGGTCCTACATCGCGAAGTTTGGCCAACTTCATTAATGAGTGTTGATACACGTGTGAAGAAACCAGAGTACTTGTAGAAAACCCACACGTCTGAGATGGGGGTAACACTTAATCCCCATACAGATGGAGTACAGTTGGAAATTAAACCCACGTGCTGTACAGCCATGATAGCCTGTATATCAGTTCAACTTTCGTGCCTTTTTCCTTCAGCTATTCGGGATTTGGCAACATCGCATGCACGGGGAGGGGCATTTGAGCAGTAGAGTCGCAGTGTTTTCTTTTCAGTCATGGGATCGAAGCGTCGAGTGAGTGGAGGAAGTGAGAGCAAGAGCCAAAGGAGGAAAAAAACTTCGCGTGGCTCAAAAGTAGATGTTTTGGATAGACTTGCTCGTGGTGATGGTGCATCTGCTGACCACCACCACCATCATCATCACACCCCTATCATCATAAGCATCCAAGGAAAACAAAACTTCCAAAGCTACAGTATCATTGATGTTTTATTGTCATTTCCTGATTATATTTTGTTGTATTTGTGTGATTTATTTGTACATTGTTGTACAATTTAAGTACAAAACCCCGATTTGCGGCAGTAATGCGTTCCTGAAAGTTGCGATGACGAATATCGAAACGACGTAAATGAAACAAATTTGCAGGGTAGGTGGTGGGGGCAGAGGCCAAGGTGATAGATAACGAGAGAGGATGGATGATGCTGTCAGCAACGTTAGCGTGGGTTAAAGCGCCGTGAATCAGGTATCGGTATTAATTGACAAGGTATTTGTGAAATGAAGCGAAAGGGGTAGATGTAAAAGTGGAAATTACAGTACAGGCTTAATGCTACGAAATATTATGTTCTCTGGTACATTCAATCAGAGACAGGAACCTATCTCCAATCCCCCACCACCCGACCACCCCACCCATATAAACGTAGTGTCTACATTCGCAAATTCTACTTCGGTGCAGATTTTCAAGAACCTAACCCTCCCGGATATCGAGGCCTTATCATACCTGAACATGACTCCGTTTGAATTCAGAATCGGAATCGTTATTTATCCTGGAGAAATCCAATGAGCTATGCAGATCCTTTTCACAGATGTCCATTTGGGGTGGTCGGAAAGTTACAACAAACGATACACAAAACGATAGTACAAAGTGCAGTATAGGAAAGATAATAACATTTTAAAAAATATTAGATAAAGTATATAAGTTAAAATTGCATAAGTACATAGAGCAGCAAAATCGTCCCGCTACTGTGAAGACCTGGCAGGGCCCTCCTGAAAAAAGTCTTGACACTCGGTGAGTCTTCCCAGGGAAAGCAAGCATCAACAATACAGAAATTAATTCCTCACAATGGAACACCTCTCGGCTCTGCCGACTCTGCATATACAGTGCGTGAATTGGCAAATGGGTGACTGTGATTTGTACAAGTTTTTTTTTTTAAACAAAATGTTAAGCGGCCACATCTGAGATGTCAACAGGGGTTTTTTTTTAATTGCACAAGAGCTTGTGGTGCAGTCTGTTACCCTAGATTATATCGACCCACACACTCCTTTAGCCAGCCCGCCCTGTCCCGCTTTTCCCGTGAATTATAACCAAGGGAGAGATCGGCTAAATAGACAACAATAAAACATAATAAAGGTCGGAGACGATCAGTAGATACTCAGCGTTGTGTTTTGTCCACCAGAGAAGTGGGTGACACCACAACTTTGGAGCACCAGAGGTCTTTGAAACGGCAAAGCGTTATTTCAAAGTGTTTTTCCGAGGGGCATTTTAATATCTGCAACAAAGACACACCCTTATCACCCTCCACATCACACAACATCTCAGCTCAGTCCCTTATCACGGAATCCACCCCAAATGTAAATGATAACAGCAGCTTATATCGAATAACATTGAACATACGTATTATTTAACAAGAAACATGTTTATATTTTACATAAAACATGTAATGCCTCCTACATTTCCTAGTTCCTGAGAGTCCTTCTAAAACGAAACAATGCGTACAATGATACGCGCGATTCATCAAAGGTAAGCTCACACTGGCTACAATCCACAGTCCAAACGCTTGCCCACACATAATAGCTCAAGGGCAAGGCTGACATCACGTGAACTGTGAAAACGTGGGAGGATATGAGGAAGTGTATTGCTAACCATGGCGAGAAAAGTCAAACCCTCCTCCTCCCCATCACGTCCGTGTGGATTCCTGGTGGACTGGACGAATATAAACGTGTGATCACAAAGTTTTCGGACTTACTTTGCCGATCGCCACCATCGGCCCTGTCTTCGTCCACACAGAGGAAGCACTCGAGACGCCCTTGACCGGTGGAGGTGAGTAGATGTGTTTGCTCAGGGTCAGTGGTGAGTACTCGGGGTGGTGGTAGTGAGGGTGATGAAGGTTGTGGTGAGTACTCACTGCAACGTACTGAATTTCGATTGAAAGCTTTCGTGACTGCAGGGATTCATCTTCTTGGTTCTTTCGGTAAAGTCACATAGAAGGGAAATAATAAAAATTAGAAAAATAAAACATAATAAAATAAAATTCTCACGACCTTTCGTTTCATTCTATTATTTCCATTCTACGTGACTTTACCGAAAGAACCAAGAAGATAACAACACATTGTTCTTTATAATGTATTATTTATTGTAGTGATTATTTTAAAACGTTTACCAAAATAAAGCATGATAATCGACACAGTGTTTAACGCCCGTACACCGCGTGACGATTTCATTTGTTTTTCCGCATCGGGTGGCGAAGGGGTCTTAACGGTCAGATCACTGTGTACGTGGCCTCACGCTATACAAAATCTTATAAATTGGTGACACTCCGTAGGTGACACGCCATGGACAACATCCCCAAAACGACAATCTCGTTGGAGTATGAGCTCTTCTCTGCTCAAGATCTGGGAGCCTCCGTGCTAAAGCTGGAGGCCGTGACCCTGCACAAGGTTGGAGCAGAGTCGCCCACTTTCCATGGGGTGATGAAGGCGTCGGAAGAACCCGAGCGGTGGACGAGGTGAGGACGGCTCGGTCCGTGCACTTTCCACGTCGCTCGCTTCACGCAAAGGAGATGCTCCCAGTCCCACGCTTCCACGTGGGGCAGCAGGGCAATGGTGGTGGCTGTGCAGTGGTGACGCTGGTGCATCACAGCAAGTAGGGGCCTGGGTTTGATTCCCAACTCGGACCACCTTTCTACATGTTTTGAGTTTGTATGTTATCCCCCATGTTTTGCATGGGGCTCTCTGGTTGCCTCCCATAGCTAAAGAAAAGCCCACAGTGTAAACGGTACTGGCCAAAACCACATCCCAATGCTCTAAGATTACCCGCAATTTACCAATTTTAGATCTCACACACAGCAGCAACATTGTGCCCCTCCTGAGAAAACTTGGCAGAACTCTCCTGAGAAAGTCTTGAGACTTGGTGAGGCTTTCCTGGCTAGTAACAATAATAAGTGAGATGAGGGTGCTGTATTGGGTGAGATGAGGGTTCAAGAGCAGATGAAACAGGTGATCGAGTCATCAGCTTCACAAGCAAGACATCTAGAGGGTACGAGCCCATCAGTAGGAGGAATGGCCAGTGGGGAATTATTCCGGTACAAGGAGACGGATAAGGGAGTGATAGAGGGGGAGATGCGAGTAAGGAAATAGATCAGGATCACAGAAGAGTGGCAGGGCTTGTGCAAAACACACCGGATAAAATATCACCGGCGAGTTTGTGTTCTAATGCCAGAACGTGGATCGTCGATGGATATCTTTGAAGTTGTTTTCCATGTGGGCCCCCTCCCACCTCCCCTCGGCCACTACTCGGCGTCGCAGAGTGTTCACGGAGCATGACGAGGGCACGGCGCGGGAACTGGCGGAACGACTGGACGCGTCCCTCCGCCCGTTCACGAGCTGTCCGCGGGAGGACGACGACCAGCAGAGACGACGCAAGCTCCTGGCCGTCGCCCGGTGCCTCCAGGAGCGGCCGAAGTGGACGCTGGCGCACGTGGCGGCCTACTGCGGCCTTCACCAGGCCCTGTCTCATGCCGAGGTCTGCAGGTGGGTGCGGCGGGGAGGCCGCTGGACACAAGCTGAAGCGAGGCCACATCCCATCACATACGAGTTTAATCCATGACAAACATTTTTTATGTTGCATTTGGCTGGGTCATTCCTAGCAGCGTGCTTCAGCCGCACCGAACCTCACAAAAATAATATTCAGGGCCTATCCTTGGCTCCTCCCACCCTCAACCAGTATATATACAAGGACTGTTTTCTTGGAATTTCTCTTACTTGATACAGCTATCGTGCTGTGACTGTTCCACCTGAAGACGGAAGCTTGTGTTGCCCCGAAACGTCGTGATTTTTATTTTATTTTTATTTACTTTTATTAATTTTAATTTTTTACCTACATGACTTTACCGAAAAAACCTAAGAATATGGCTGGGTCACGTAGCCCACATGCCCAGCCACCACATGACCAAGCAGCTCCTGTTTGACCCATAAAGGGGTCTCAATGGGCATGGCACAGGCTGGAGAAATAATAGAATGATACGGTACAGGAGGATGTGGAGCTGAGTGGACTTGCCGATGACGGTTACCAGCGATGTCAAGATCGGCCTGTGGAGGAGGCTGGTCAAGGACACTGCTGGGCAGTTGGAGGCAGTTCGCACGCGTTCAATTGCCACTCATAGCCAAAAAAAGTACGAGGTCCTGGGGAGGCAAAGTGACCAGGCATTGTCATAGCCACTTCACCAGGTGCTCGCTAACAGCACTTGCCGCAAGTCTGTTAAAAGCTTTATGGGGGAACTTTGTTTTTGAGTCTAGCGTGAGTTGGCACAATGGGCGGTGCATCTCTCAGTCATCTCAGCCATAACACCCGGGTCTGTCCCGTGACCTCACCCACGAAGTGTGTGACATGTTTATGCCTGTGTAGCGGTCAGCACGCTACACTACGAACCCAGCGACTCGAGTTCCATTCCTACTCACGGCCGTCAACACCAGTGGCGAATATCAGAACCGGTCCTGGGACTCTCCTAGGCCGACTCAAGCCTCAAATGAGTACCTGGTGCGGTGTGTAAACATCACCACTGGGGAGTCAAAGAATGCCGGGCATGGTCCTGGCCACCCACCCCCTCGTGTGTCTTCAAAAGTGCTACTCCTGAACAGCATTTGCCTCAAGAAGTCTGTTAAGGCTATACAAGGGACTTTTCGATTTAAAGCTTTCGTGACTGCAGGGATTCATCTTCTTGGTTCTTTCGGTAAAGTCACGTAGAAGGGAAGTAATAAAATAATAAAAATAAAACATAATAAAATAATTATCACGACGTTTCGGCCACAACGCAAGCAGCCGTCCTCAGGTGTGGCCGAAACGTCGTGAGAATTATTTTATTATGTTTTATTTTTATTATTTTATTACTTCCCTTCTACGTGACTTTACCGAAAGAACCATCGACGAGCCGGAGAGCGACTACGGCTGCACCCCGCTGATGATGGCTGTGGAGGCGAAGCAGGTGGCGTGCGCACGTGGGCTGCTGGGTCTGGGCGCGCGCGCGGAAGTGGCGGACAAGCAGGGGAACATCGCGGCGCACTACATGGCCTCGCAGGTCAACGACGACGTCGCCATGGTAACGCAGCATCTCCATCACGACACCTGACGACCAAGGCGTTGTTACTGCGCTTGTTTGCTTGCCCTGGAAAGCCTCGCCGAGTCTCAAGACTCTTTTCAGGAGGGTGCTGCCACGTGTTTTTGCGGTGGTGGGGGGGAGGTGATGTTGCTGTGCAATTGTTGAACCTATCGTTCTACAACTTTTTGACTACTCTGACGCTGCTTAGAGATCATCCCCAATGATGAAAAATCACCGACAAATTACTCGATTGGGATTGCAAAGACAAACATCCCCCAGTAAAGCCTTCAAAGACTTTTGGGGCAAGTGCTGTTAGCATGTAGGACCTATGAAAGCAAGGTCAGCCCAAAACAACACCAGGGCCTTCACCACCGTGCACAGATTCTGAAAGCGCAAAGCAACACACCCCGCACACCAAAGACTGTTGGGGCAAGTGCTGTTAGCGAGTATCTATGAAGGCCGGCACGGCACAAGAAGGGGTGGGTGTCCAGCACCACGCCCGGCCGCCTTTGTTTCCCCAGTAGTGATGTTCACAAACACACTGCACCAGGTACTCATTTGAGTCTGAGTCGACCTCGGGGAGGCCCAGGACCGGTTCAGATAATCGTCACTGGTGTTGGTAGACGTGAGTGGGCATCAAACTCTGGTCTCTGCCAGGTTTGTCACGCACACACACTCACACTTTGGGGCCGTCCATGAATGACGTCACGCATCTGGGGGGGGGGGGTCAGACATTTGTGACGATGTGTGACGAGGGGGGGTTTGAAAAATGTGACGTCACATCAAAATGCACAACTTTAAATAAATATAGACAACACGTTCTACTTAATTAAATCGACTTTTTAATAAATGTTTCTCCTACAACATCAGAGTGCAGAGCCACATTAAATACGCACTACAATGACAATAGTTTAAAGCGATTTGAAGCGTGTTTTATATTTTTTTTGGGGGGGGGGGGCAGAGCTTTGTGACGTCATATTTGACGGGGGGGGGTCTGACTTTTTGTGACGCCGTGTGACGAGGGGGGGGGTCAAAAATCGTCCAAAATCGCGTGACGTCATTCATGGACGGCCCCTTTGTGCCTCGTCCCCTCGGCGGCGTCAGCTGATCTACGACCTGGCGGAGGGCGGCGTTGAATGGCTGGGTGCACGCAATGGCGCCGGCAGCACGCCGCTGCACGTGGCCGCGCGTGCCGGGGCGCTCTCCGCCATGATCGCGCTGCTGGCCAATGGCGCCGACTTCGACGCGAGAGACGAGGCCCACGGAGACACGCCCCTGCACGTGACCATCAAGGTGAGACATCCACCTCCTCCTAGACCCCTCCCGCTAGTTGCGTCACGAGCGGCGGGGGTGGGGCGCACCTTGCCCCGCCCCCCGGCGAGTACTACCAAAACTTTGGCTTCTGTGTGTTTATTTCTAGATTTGAAGCTTTCGTGACAGCAAGGATTCATATTCTTAGGTTTTTTCGGTAAAGTCACGTAGGTAAAATTTTTAAATTAATAAAAGTAAAATAAAATAAAAATCACGACGTTTCGGAGGCAACACAAGTTTCCGTCTTCAGGTGGAACCGTCACAGCACGAGAGCTGTATCAAGTGAGAGAGATTCCAAGAAAACAGTCCTTGTATCTGTGTGTTTGTGTGTGAGCGCGGTGGTCTGTGTGTATGCAGTGGGTGTCCATCTAGGACCCCGTTCAAACCCAAAGTCGGCCCTGTCTCTCTCCTCCCGTCATAAAATCTAACGAAGAGGACAGGTCGGCTAAATAGTCTATATATATAAAAGGGAAATTTGTGAATGTGTGTCTGTTCGAAATGTTTAGCATACTTCCCAACATGCAACAAACTTGAAATTTTGCATGTGGGTAGCTTCCAGACTGTACACAATGCAAAAAGTATCAAAATATACTTTTGGGGGGGGGGGGGGGGGCGCAATAATGGATATATTTTGCACGGCAAGTGAGCGGTGACATCACATCTGTGATGTCACCCGCATGCGGCACGCAGTGTGCCTGCTGACGTCACGCACCCCCCCCAAACCCTCCGCGTAGGCCGTGTGTTAATCCAAGACAAGAATCCAAGTCTCTGGCAAAGCCGGGTAGTAAAGCTAATCAACAATGAAAATAATAAAGTTCAGAGACGATGAGTAGGTGCTACTCGTTGTGTTTTGTCCTCTGGATAAGTGGGCGACTCCGCAGCAGCTGTGCACTAGAGGTTTGTGGAATGGCTAAACTTTATTTCAAATTGTTCTTCCGAAGGGCATTTGTGTATCTGCAATAGCGACCAAACACACCCTCCACATCACAGCACCACGGCTCAATTCCTCAGTACGGGATCCACCAAAATCTCAAATGGGGGAGTGCCCCGTACTCTATAGCGCACGTGGGGCTCGGGGTCGTTTCCAGGGTCACAATTGCATTCCCTTAATGTAAAAAAACAAAACGAACCTGGCTACTCGTAGCTGTTAACAGCGCACAATAATGCGTGTGATTAATAACAGGCGAGCTGACACCACTTAAAATTGCAGCTGGGGTTGGCATCGTCTCCACGCCTCCTGATGCCGAGGGGAAATGGGTGAAGTTCAGGACTGTGGCTCATACAGCTGCAACAGCTGCATTGGGTATGCGTTGCAGACCTCCCTAAAGACCCTGGCTGAAGGATGAGGTGTTCCGGTTGGTTGAGAGAAAACAACAGTCAACCCATGGCATTCATCACTTCACGTGGCCTTAAAGTGCACGTAGCCCGACACAAGCGCCGTAGTGACATCATCGCCACGTATTGGTGAATGGCAGTTATTGTTGTTGTGTGTAATAATTTGCGTGTAGATATTTTGTGCGATGATGCTCCATGTCTTTGCAGAGGATCGTGCAAAGCATGCGCGACAGCTGCAGCTCAAGCGGCGTCGGTGAGGGTGAGCATGTACAGGTGAGATCCACGTCTGCGTGTCTATGTCATATGGCTCCAGCGGACGCCTCTCATGCAAGAGCCGCCAGGTGAGTGCAGGCGAGGTCTGCGTGCTCTCGTCTGTGAAACGGCACTAGTGGATGCCTCTCGCGCGTGAAAAGCCAGGTGCGTGCAGGTGAGTACCTGGGCGGTGTGTGAACATTGCCACCCGGGAGACAAATTCGGCCGGGAATGGTGTTGGCCACCCACCCCTTCGTGTGCCGTGCCGGCCTTCATAGGTATTCACTAACAGCACTTGCCCAAACAGTCTTTGGTGTGCGGGGTGTTTTGCTTTGCACTTTCAGAATCTGTGCACGGTGGTGAAGGCCCTGGTGTTGTTTCGGGCTGACCTGACGGTGGAGAATAAAGATGGACATTCGGTGTGGGACCTTGCCGCAGACGTGCACGCCGGGGGTGAGAGACCGGGACACGGCCCGCTTCACCGCACGCATCACCGCATAAACAACTACAACAGCCGCCATACACCACTAATTCGCAGTGATGTTACCATGGCGCTTGTGCCAAGCTAAGTGCACTTTGAGACCGTGTGAAGTGTCGAAGGTTCGCTGGCACAGGTGGTCACGGGATAGACCCCGGTGCCATGGGTTGACTGACAGATGACTGGCAGATTCACCAGCTGTGCCATATGCTGTGCCAACTTGCTGAATTTTATCCGCCCGGCGCTCTGCTCATTTTTGTGAGCGTCGCTCGTCTGCCGTTCGCTGTTGTTGGAGACGAAATAGCCTCCATACGAGTGAAATTGTATGTTTTGTATGAACTAATGGAGAGAAAGTAAAAACTCCACCCAGAGATTTGGGAATCGAACCCAGGAACCTTAACGCTGTGAGGCGAACAAATACTTTATTAGGTCGCACTCCTTACACACAAAGTGCTTGCCACAAATGAACCACAATCTTGCTGACCTCGTCAAGGAGCATAAACCATCACGCAAATTCTGGTAATCCCTCGCAGCAGCGGCTTTTATCTAGTCATCAAAAGAAAGATGGCCACTGCATCACGCGCATTAAGATATATTAGGAAGCCACTGGACCTATGCACTTTTAAATCTAGATAGAAAACGTATTTCTTTAGAACTGATATTGTGTTTAGTTTGTTGCCCTTTGTCGGCACCTCTGATTATCGCGGTTGCCTACGTACAGTGCGAAATAAGTTCAACATCCATAATTACAATACCCTCCCCCTCTCCGCCTCAAATCACTGCACCTGAATGAATTACATGATGGCGTCACCCTGCTGCTGCTCGTTTTAAGACCGGGAGCTAGAGGGGAGCATCACTATTCTGGAAAATTGCCCGATAAAGCTGGATGTAATTACCAGAGAAACGTCGTACTCAATTTTTTAATGATGTTGATTCACTCTTCAACACACCGGTGGGCTAAAGTAGTGAACTATTTGTCCTTTGTAAACGTGACACATTTTTTACTGTTTGGCCGTGTCGGGTGGTGGAGGGTTACGACACATTTATAAATAACGCGATCTAACCCAAAAACCTTTATTACGAGGCAGGAGTGTTGTCACCACTGGACGGCCGCCTTGTGACGATGTTTGTTGTCGTTGTGCAGGCGTGAAGGACCAGGTGTTGTCGCTGCTGCGACACGGAGAGGCCTACGCACGAGCATCAGCTCCAACTCCAGTCTCAGGTGTGAGTCGCCACCTGATTATTTCATGAAGGTGATATGAATTTCAACATGTGTAAGATGTTGTGTCATGCACCCTCCACTCCACCCGGCACGGCCAGAGCCATGATCTTCGGAACTAATAACTGCTTAATGTATCTTGATTTGAAGCTTTCTGCAGGAATCCATACTCTTTGGTTCTTTCGGTAAAGTCACGTAGTTATAAATAAAATGAAACAAATCACGACGTTTCGATCGCATTATTTCTAACTACGTGACTTTACCGAAAGAACCAAAAGAGTATGCGTAATGTATGTATGTTCAACTTCTTTCGTGCCGTACAAAGCCGACCGTGCTAATTGGAGGTACGGGGGGGGGGGGGGGGGACAAACTAAACACAAAAAGCAGTTCTAAAGAAATTAGTTTTCAAGCTAGATGATTTAAAAGTGCATAGCTTTGGGGCTTCCTAATGTCGGAAGAGCATTTCAGACAGCGACAGAACTTAAGCCACTTCGTTGAGCTATCATTTGTGATAGCCAAGTCGCTTCTGAAGAAATAGCTATTAGCTCAGTGGGCTTTACCTGGTCAAATGTTTCGTTTGTTTATTTCGTGATTTGCTTACCTTTCCTATACTTTAAACTTGTATTGTCTGCTCTGTACCTCTTCTCCCTGCAAATCTTAAATGGGGGAGGGCAGGTCAGCGAAAGACATAAATAGAGTTCGCAGTCGACGAGTAAGTAACTCTCCGTTGTGCTCTGTCCTCCGGAGAAGTTGGCGAAACTATTTCAAAGGTCGAAACTATTTAAAAGTGTTCCTCAGGCCAATTGTGTTTCTGCAATGGCGATCAGAAAAATTCTGTCACAAAACCACATATCAATTTCTCAGCATGAAATCCGCCCAAATCTCCATTATGATAACAGCTGTAGTGTGTCAGAAACCAGGGGAGACACGAGTTGAGGCAACACGATATTTATGAACACTCTTTCTACAGGGCCCTAACACAAAGGGGTAGCGGTCCCTTTCACCCGATACCTGGGGAGCTATGGCCTCCGGACTACACGGGCCAGAATACTGGGACCACGCTAATTCCCAGTCCTCTGGCTAGGGGCCCTAGGGGAGGCTATGCTGAGCCAACCATGCCAGGGTCTTCGGGTCCTGAACACTGGCCTCACTCAGCTTCGGCCCTTAGAAAGACGACAGAGCTTGGGTCCAGGGTCGTATCCTCAGCCCAGGTCTTCGGTCTTCAGCTTGGAAGTGACTCTCTCGATCGTTCAGAGGTCCGTGTCTTGCTCCGCCCCGGCCCCGCCTTCCTTCCAGAACCTTCCACCGGGTCCTGGAAGGGTGACGTCATCCCCCAGTCCCCCCTCCCGGGGTTTGGGGATTGTGTCCCAGGATCCGTTATCCCAGAGATCAACGTTGGCCCCTTTGGCCATAGTCCTGTAACGTAGGTGTAGTCACTCTTCCGCCCCCTGTTGACCCAATAGTGATGCTACCCGCTGACAATATGGGGAGTGCGGACTAACGCCTCTACATATGCAACAACTATTCTTTCTTACATAATGTAACCTCTGCAAAAAAGATTCCGCTCACCCCATGAGCTCAATGTTAAAATCAGGGTCTAAGTCAGCAATTTTGTGCCGTTCCCATGAACAGCACAATGCTACACAATAACACAAAATGTTGTTAACTATCACAACTTGTATTTTCAACACCAAAACACTCGAATAATCTTCCAGCTCCATCAAAGATGTTGATTCGAGTTGAATTTTATAAAAATAAACAAGTTTTATGAAAATAAACAAGCTCTAGGGTATAATTAAATAACGAATCACGCGGCCGATTTCCAGCGCAAAAAAAACATTCAACTAAAAAAATCAGTGAACATCTCGTACCTGCAAGTGATCAGAAACATCCTCCAAGTTCACAATACCGCAGTTGAATCCGTCTGTTAATTGGATTGAGCGCTGGTTTTAATATCCTCGACCGAATTATTTTAACTATTTAAATATTGAAATCAACTATAACATCAAAGTATAAATTCGTGCATATCTTCATTGCCACCAAAAACGAATCAACAGTCAATTAACATTCTTAATTTGAAGCTTTCGTGACTGCAGGAATTGCTCTTTGGTTCTTTCGGTAAAGTCACGTATCTTTATACGTGACTTTACCGAAAGAACCAAAGAGTAGTCAATTAACATTACGGAGTTCCTGTCAGGCGATTGACATTCAAGTAAGCTATACATTATTACATACCTATCAACCCCTTATCAGTGCATATCTTATTGCAGACCAATTCAGACCTTATTGGTCACCCCGTGCCCTTATAAATGTCAACGTTCATCCTACAAAGTCCCATCACAAGGGAGAAACACAAAAAATATATTTTTGTTGCCCATATTGAAACGGCTGTACGCTGTATGGACCTGAAAACTCAATTTCACTGTACAAGAACACGGGGTAAACAGTATTGGTTTGACATGTACAGTGAGGGAAAAAAGTATTTGATCCCCTGCTGATTTTGTACGTTAGCCCACTGACAAAGAAATGAACAGTCTATAATTTTAATGGTAGGTTTATTTGAATAGTGAGAGACAGAATTGCAACAACAAAATCCAAAAAAACGCAAGTCAAAAATGTTATAAATTGATTGGCATTTTAATGAGGGAAATAAGTATTTGACCCCTCTGCAAAACATGAGAAGTGAGTTCCATGCACATTTCCACCATCGATGCTGAGTGAATCCAGACCGTGTTTGACGCTCGAACTACGGACGGTGGCATCAGACAGCTCACATTGATGATGATGCTACTACTGCACACAGCAGACAGAGAGAACCCACAGCACAGACCACATCACTGTTTATTTCTGTTATTATGGACCAGGACTCAATGACCCCAGTGCTGCTGCGGATGAAGACGGCAAAGAAAGGTATTTTGTTGGGATCTTGTCCTTTTAAAATCTGCTCTGTTTACTGAAATAATTTGTGACACTGCTTTTATTGATTGCAATCGCCTCCTCTGAGCCCAGCCGATCAAGGGCCAAGAATAGATTGGCACATCCTCACGCCATCGCAAGTCTCCCCCTCCTGTCCTCGTTACAAAATTCCTACCGGGTTTGGATACGGCTCGGGATGGCAGCCCTCATCATCCAGTAGTGTATTTAGAATAAGTATAACCAGTAAAAACAAAGTTTTTCACTATAAATCCTTTATATGCATGGCGGCTAGAGTCCTCTCGTCCTCTGGCTTGAGATGGCTGCCACCTATGGGTCAGATGATTGTCTGCAGTATTAAACAATTGGTAATTAAATATAATATTTTTGTCCTATAAAGTGTAACATTTTTGAAAAAAAATTTCACGAACATTAATTGTCACGCACAACGAGTCTGTGTGCAAAATGTCAATTCGATTGGATCATGGGAAGTGGGTTAAAAAACGACCGAAAGATTTACACGGTCGTAAGCAAGCAAGCACGCAAGCAAGCAAGCAAACTTAATATAAAGGATTTTAAAATGGCCGCGCTCAATCGTGATGTCGTATCATTGTGAAGCAGTAGCCTCACACGGAGCTCTGGCGACCACTGTGGTTGTATCGACTCGGGTTGTTAAATGACAAACGGTTATGTATGTGTTGAACCTCTTGCACTGTACGTAGCCAACCACGTTAATTAGAGGTGTGGGGGAAAGATAAACTAAATACAAAAACCAGTTTCATATAAATTTGTGTTCTATCGAGATGTAAAAGTGCAAAGCTCGATTGGCTTCCTAATATCGTAATGAAGAGCGTTCCAGATGGCCGCAGAAGCGCATGCGAAAGTGCGTGTTGAGGTGACCGTCTTTGTTCAATGGCTAGCCAAAAGCCGCTCCCGCGAGGATATCCGGAAAACTGGGAACCATTCAGCCAACTTGACGTCACCTCGTTTGTGCATTGAGTTTTTGAGCCAGGCCAGAATTGGGCAAAGACGGGACAACCACTAGTCATGATGATGTATATATAGTTTAACACTTGTGCTTTTGCGGCCAATATCATCCTTAACAGGTTATGGGTTAGATCACGTAAATATATAAATGTGTCATTAAACCCGCCACCACCCGATACAGCCATATTTGTGATCTGGCTGTCGCCCGATGAAGCTAGTTGTAATTACTGGTGAAACGTCACTCAGATTGTAAATGTTGTGGCTTGGCTCTCCAACACACCGGTGTGCTGTATTAGTTTATTGATGTTAAATGGATCACTACAGCGTGTAGCGCCAAGTGCCGTTGAAACAGGCGCAGAGGCTAACACACCGTGCAGTACCATTCAGTGGGCCACTAGGGGCATGGTACTGGGTGCTAGCAAGAGAAAGCCTGATGAGTCCTACCGACAGAGTAGGGGATTGCAGCCTCCACCAGCGCCGCAAGGAATTAACACAGAGTGGGCCACCGGGAGAGTGCAGTGGGGAGCGGCTGGTGGTAGGGGCCATGTGAGGACGAGTCACTCCGGCACGTGATGGGCCGGGGTGAGTAATGTGGGCCAAAGGTGAACGAGGGGGCACGGGGGGGTAGCTGAGAATGTCTAGAGAGTTCCCGAAAGAGGCGTGGTTAAGAGCGGAGTCAGAGAGGGAACAGGTGTGGTTTAGCGGGAATATTCTGGATGTAGGGCGCGGCCGAAGGTGGAGCCAGGCCGAGCCGAGAGAGATAAAAGGGAAGCCCCGATCACAGATCCGGGCTGTCTGCAAGTGAAGTGGAACCCAGGTGCTACGTCTTCGACATCGTGGATCAGGCAGCACGTTGGCTGCTCTGACCCGATTATAGTTATCCCGTATGCAAGAGAAATAGGTGTATTATGGTCCTATGCGTAACAAGAGTAAGAATAGGTGTGGAGTGTGATGGACGGAGGCAACACGTTTATTTAACAACTCCCTCTTCGTCCCCCTTGGTACCCTGTCTAGGTCACGTGCCTTCTCGAGTTCACACAGAGTAGCACGCCCTCACTTGCTCTCCTCCAACCCCCACCAGAACCATGCCCCCCTATGTCCAGCTTCCATGTCAACCTATGGTCTGGTGGCAGAGAGGACTCCCGAAGTGCGTTTCCACTCCTGCGACAGTAGCAGGTGCCATAGTGACACCCATAACCTCACGACAGGTGTATTTAGTCCCGTGTGCAACGGCGTTGCGTAAAGTGTAGAATAAACGTTGTTGCCTCCAAAATAGTGTCTCTGAACGACTCGCTACACTAGTAACAAATTGGCATGTTTTGTTTACGTGACAAACCTTGCGAATTGGATGTGTTGGGTGTTGGCGGGTTTAACGACATTTATATGTTTATGCGATTTAACCCCAAAAAATACCTGTATTATGGATATATAAACAATAAACTATAATTAATTATACATCAATGCAGGGGATGCGCTGCAGACAATTGAAAATTAAATACAAGCCACAATACTTCGATTGTGGCCATGCAAGACAAATTATGGAGTAGCCAGTGGCGAGATGTTAACTACCTCGCCTGGTATGAAGGAGGTCGTGGGTTCGATCCCGACCCTGACGCCTTCATATTTAGAGGTTGCATGTTCTCCATCGTCCAAATGTTGAAACATGCGTTGAGATTATTTGGCTGCTGTAAATTTCCACGTGATAAGCCACTTTGTTGGGCTAACATTTGTGACCAGGTCGCTTCTGAAAAACAGCTATATAGCTCAGTGGGTTTTACCTGGTAAAATAAAAGTTACCCCGACCCTCGTGGTGACTCGGTGACTATCTCTGTGCACTCGTTGCAGCGTCACGGGCGGCAGTGGTGATGGTGGTGGCGCAGCACCTGTGCTCGGTGGGGGAGGCCGCGTGCTCTGCATGGACGGCGGTGGCATTCGGGGCCTGGTGCTCGCTCGCATCCTTGATTTCCTCTGGCGAAAGAACAATCAGCGGAGCTTGGCTGAGCTCTTTGACTGGGTGGCCGGTACCAGCACGGGCGGCATCCTGGCAATCGGCATAGGCCTTGGTAAGTCCTCGTCTTCCCTTATCATCATCATCACCACCATCATCAAACTCTAGCAGAGCAGTGTGTTACACCGTGTTATTAGAGAACGGCCTACGGAACCGGATATCAGAGCTACCTCTGAGATCCCCTTCTTAAAAGGATCCTCTGGTTTACAAGGAAAACTTGCCCTTTGAAAGTGCTTTTTGGTTTTTTTATAACGTTGCTTGGTTTGTTTCAGGATTTCAACCACCGAAAATAATAGAGACGTACTTCCAATTGAAGGACAAAGTGTTCCGAGGAGCCAAGCCACATTCCACCATAAAGCTGAAAGAGGCCATGCAATTTATATTTAAGAAAGTTAATCTTGGATCCATCACACACCCAAGGTATCAGCATCTCAACTAACCTCATGCATTACGCGTCATCATAAACACCTAATTCGAGATCCCTACGTGACTTTACCGAAAAAACCTAAGAGTATGAATCCTTGCAGTCACGAAAGCTTCAAATCTAGACCTAATTCGAGACTCAAATATCACACCACCTCCTGGCTTTTACATTGCTCCTCGAAGACACTGGTGGTGTAAGCATCAACCGCATCAAAACATTAACAGACCAATGCGCACCATATCTCCTTCATAAATTGAAAATTTAAGGACACAAACCACAGTAGTGTGATTGTGGCCATTCAGCCCAAACTATCGACCATGGTAATAGAGCCACTGTCGTCTGTGCTCCCTCAACGCAAGAATAGCAAAACTATATTAATTCTCTCTCTCTCCTGCAGGTTTGTCGTCAATCACAAAACAATCAACCAGCTCGCATCACCCCGAAAGTTATCCAACCACGCAATAAAGTATTGACTCTGGTACTCTTCCAGCCTCATGCCAGAGCAGCTTACAGCCTCAAGACTCATGGGCTCTGATGCAGTGAGCAGCTTGCAGCCCCCTGAGCCAGACTCAGGAGCAGCATGCAGCCTCAGACTCCCAGCCTCCGTACTCTGCGGTACTGCAGACGACGAACGCCCGAACGCCCATAGCTCACAAGTTGCAGAAATGTGTAGGCATGGGAGGTTCATCAACAGCAAACGCTCCCTCCTTGAAATCGGATGGCAAATGCAGGGCACGGTCACCAACCCAGACACCATGATGGCTGAGATTGGCCGAAATACGCTACTTCCTGAAACACCAGAACCTATTTATGAAGATTTACTATTTCAAACGCACTGATTGAAACACTGAATCTGTCGATACAATTCCTGTATCACCCTGCCTGAAACACTGAACCTGTTAATATAATTCCTATATCAAACAATCTACTTCAAATCTCAGCTCCAAGACTCTCTCTCTGCCTGAATGATTCTGAAACCACCTGTGAATAATATTTATCCCGGGCTATCTCCCTGCCTGAAAACTGAAAACCGAATATATGATCACGATCATGTACCCAACCTGTACTTTTAAAATGGACATCCTCAGGAATCACTTTACCAAGGCTACACCTGTTGAAAGGGATGGGGGGGGGGGGGCTCGCAAAGGCAGCTACACAGCACTAAAGCATTGGTTACCCCAGCATGTAGTGTTCTTCTGGGACACTTGCACGAAAGCCCAAATACACACACACAGTACTTCAAACACTCATACACCGCGTTACAATTACATTTGTTTTGGGCTGCGTAGGGTGGTGGAGGGCTCTTAACGACACAACTTTGGTCAGATCGTGTGACCTAACTTACTCCGTGTCGAGTTGCTGCATTCAATACATCCCAGACACTGCTGAGTGAACCTGGGCGGGCGCTGCAGTGGTGAGATGTTACCTACCTCGTCTGGTATACAAAATGGCGTGGTTCGATCCCGAGACCGATGCCTGTATATTTGGAGTTTGCATGTTCTCCCTGTGGTCATGTGGATTTTTATCCGAGTCCTCCGGTTTTTCCTTCAGATAAAAAAACATGCGTTTCGAGTCTTTGGCTGCAATACATTTCCACTCGCTTCTCAAAAAGAGCTACACAGCTCAGTGGGCCTTGCCTGGTCACATAAAAATAGTTAAATAGAGTTTCGTGTAGTTTAGAACCTGCACAGCCAAAAGCTATGAGATGCCTAAGCGAGAGATGGCCATGCTTAGCATTTCTATAGATGTTAGCTCAAGTCCCATGAGTGTCTCACAGTCGCACATGGCTCTCCGCGTGACAGGGTGATGGTGACGTCCACCAAGGTGGATATTTTACCGGTGGACCTGATGTTGTTCACGAACTACAAACATCCTGATGCAGAGACGTGCGGAGACTCCCCCGGTCTTCCAGGTGACGGAACATCACGCAGCTCTGCATTCAGATTCACAATTCTTAACATCTGTATATTAACCAGTTACGTAACATGCAATCATCGCTAAGAATCCTGTATTATTGATATTGGGTCGGCTTATGCCTGGCTCTGGCTCAAGTAAGCCAGCTCAAACCCACCGCTCTTAATTCAGGTCGACTCCAGCCGTGCTCAGGATTTCCATGAGCAGAGCCTGAGCCGAGCCACAGGTGAAGCCGCCCACTCGCTTGCTGGCTCGTCTTTGGAAGTGTAGCGCTGTAAATGGGCTGCACTTACCTGCAGTAGCAGACAGGGCCCACCAGGGGCAGTGCCGCGTACCGGCATGGGGGTCGCTACTAGGGGTCGGCACGGTTTGAACCGACTCAAACTGGTTTCAAATTGAGAAAACCAAACCAAACCAGCGACGACTGAACCAAACCAAACCAAAACCAAACCAAACTAAGCTAAACCAAACCTCTTGAGTTGGCTTGAACCGAAAAGATGCGCGGCAAACAATATTCGCATTCAATACAAATATCAAGTGTATTAATCGCTAATTTCTACGCAGGCTTTCTTCATATTGAGATTCACTAGCAAGTACTGGACGACGATGTCGTCCACAGCCATCTCCTCAAGCTTGGCACGCCCAATGTCCTTGAACGCAGTGTGGTAGTTCAATGGCAGTGAAACCCCAACACTAGGCAACATCCGCGCCCACGAGCGCACACACATCTCGGCCTTGAACGTGCACTTGTGCAGGTTTGGTCGGTCGAGAAAGGAGCGCTTGGCGGCCGAGTTTGCTCTCTCGGAGGGCACGGACGACGCCGGGATAGGCAAATAGTCGAGGGCCACGCGTCGTAGGCGCGGGTACTTGCCGCCGTACAGCTTCCACCACTCGACAACGTCCATGCTCAGGTCCTGAGTCGGCTCAAGCAGGAAGCGGTCGACCTCGGAGGCGGCGCCGTCATGAGCGTTGGGCGCGTAGACCATGTCAAAGAGGATGTTAATGCCGCCACGCGGCGCCGCCTTCGGCGCCGCGTCCGTCGTCAACGCTGGGTAGCACTGGTTGAGAATGTCCGTCATCATGTCCTTGATATTGCTGTACTCGGCCTTTACAACCAACCAAACTAGTTTGAGCCGGTTCCACCCTGTCCGAGCCAAACCGAGTCGGTTTTCGTAGCCCCAAACCAAACCGAACCAGTTCAAACAGAGCCAAACCAAACCGATTTGGTTCGGTTCAAACCGCGGTTTGGTGGTTTGAGCCAAACCGTGCCGACCCCTAGTCACTACGTTCCGCAGCCCAAAAGCAGGAGGGGGCTACGGGGTGTTCTGGGTTTTACCTATGATTCCAGACTTATGAGCTACCCTGTATTAGAAGCAGTGGTTTAACACGACCACACTCCGAACTGGTTTCAACATTTTAGTGTCTCATCAGCACAATCGGGCCAGTAGAGCGAGCGGTGTGAGGAGTTCCTGGAACCCTCGCCGGAGGGGCTCCCTAGAACTCGCGCTGTTGTGATGGTCTTTCTCGTTGTACATGCAGATCCCATCTACCGTCGCATGTCGGACCTTCTCGCGTGGCAGGCGGCCACGTGGACCTGCTCGGCACCATTCTTATTCTCGCCGATCTATGACCTGGTGGACGGGGGCCTCCTGGCCAACAACCCCACCATGACCATGCTGGCGGAGGTCTACCACCACAGCAGAGGCTTGAAGTCCAAGGCAAGGCCTAAAACTAAACTGTTTCATTTTACTAGGTTAAAGCCCACTCAGCTGTAAGTTCTTTTTCAGAAGCAACTTGGCCACATTATAGCTCTAAGAAGTGGCTTATTGCGTGGAAATGTATCACAGCCAAATACTCTAAAAGCACGTTGATTTAAAATGTGGAGTGAAAAACCGGAGCACCCGGATAAATATCCACGTGATCACAGGGAGAACGCATAAACTCCAAATATACAGGTATCAGAGTCGGGACCGAACGCACGTCCTCGCCACCGTGGTGCCACTTCTGGCAGAGCTATTGACGTGCCAGACTACTCGTTAACGTACCAAAGCATTAGGCTGCCCAAGGGGGGGGGGGGGGGATACAGGATCAGAGCCGAGTGGTGACACTCGCGTCAAGCAACCAGAAGGGGCATGGGTTGCTTGATTTCTGACTCAGGAGCCTTCCTGTGTATGGAGTTTGTATTTTCTCCCCCCTGTTCACCGTTTCCCTCCCATAGCGATACAATAACGGACAAATTGTAACTGGTATTGGCTAAAACTATATTCATATGCTGAAAAGTTATCTGTACATTACTGAAATGGGAATTGCACACAGCAGTAGCAACATCGCCCCCTACTGCAAAACTTGGCAATCTCACCCACTTATGATATTACATTTTTATCACACTTGTTCACCCAGAAAAGCTTCACCGTCTCAAGGCCTTTTTAAGGAACGTCTTGCCACGTTTTTCCAGTAGGGGGCGATGTTCCTCGACACGGACATGTTTGTTGGTCTCGCAAACTAAACTAAAACTATTTTTTTTATTTTACCAGGGTAAGGCCCACTGAGCTTTATAGCGCTTTTTCAGAAGCAACTTAGCTATCACAAATTATAGCTGAACGAAGTGGCTTATCACGTGGAAATTTATAGCAGCCAAAATGTGGACGACCCGGAGAAAAATCTATGCGACCACGGGGAGAACATGCAAACTCCAAATATACAGGTGTCAGGGTTGGGATTGAACCCACGACCTCCTGTATACCAGGCAAGGTAGTTAACATCTCGGCATCGTGGTGCCCACGACGCTGTGTTCACGACCGCTGGTTTTCCCCGTGACGTTCCAGGAGCCGGGTCTGGACAAACCCTCGCTGAAGGTGGTGCTGTCGCTCGGCACTGGGAAAAAGCCCACGGTGGAGGTCGGGCCACCATTCCCGACCTGCTTGGGGGAATTGTTCTTTCCAAGTATGCTTGTAAAAGTGTTCAACTGCGTCATGTCTGTCGTAAGTATAACCCCCGAGCAGCTCGCACAATATACTCCGCTGCCGACGGGCGCATTGCAATGTGTGGCAAGGTGCACTTTAATCCTTTCCCGTTCTGAGACGTCTGCAATTTGCAGGGCGGGTGTCCCGTTCACCGCTGAATCTCGGAAAGTGCAAGCGGTTCAGCGTTTAATTGATTTAGAGAGGCGTAGCGCCACTGTTTTCCCAATACATTGTACTCACCGCAGAGAACTGTTTCGACACGACTGCACTCCATGATAGCTGGAATTTTACTTCTGATTCCGTTCAGAATCGATTTGATTCTGTTCAGAAATGATTCCTTTCCGATGATGTAAATGTACATAATTGTAATGGAATCGTAAGAAAGAAGTTTTGTCCCGTTTCGATGACTAACGTCATCTAACGTCACTGGAACGGGATATACGTATGTTGAACTTCTTTCGCACCATACGTAGCCAATTGCGCTAATCGGAGGTGCGGAGGAGGGACAACAAAAACAATACTAACAACGGTATTGCTACTGGCCGCCATCACTCCTCAAGGGCAGGGCGATCATCGCCAAGGAAGGCACCGCTGTGTTGAGCAGATACAGTCTGCAGTAGTTTCATGGTCGGGGTGGTGCTGCTGTTTGTTGTGATCGCAGTTGATTAATTGCGGTGCAATTCTTGAGTTTGGAAAATTTGAATAATTATTTCAGCACACAATGGCATACTCGTTCTGCATTCAGAATGACAGCAAGGATTTACAAGATTCACTGTGAAGGCAGGCGGAAAGTATATTACGTGCTAATACACACACCGCAGTAGAAACCAGGGCTGCCTGTCTGATTCAAACCACTACCCTCTGCAACGAGCAGCCAATGCGCCACATTGCGTGAAGCCACGGAAATCCAGAAAAGGCCTGCACATGCAGATATGCCGAGACATAGCCTGATCATAACCAGCCTGAAAACATATTTGAAAACGTCTTTGACAGTCTATATTAGTATCTGCTGCCTATAGTAGTATCTCCTGACCCTATAGTAGTCACTATCATAATAGTATCTACTGACTCTAAAGTAGTATCTAGCACTACAGTAGTACCTACTGACTCTATATTAGTACCCACTGACTCTACAGTAGTATTTACTGACTCTATAGTAGCATTTACAAACATAGGAATCAAGTTAAGTAAAACCGTTGAAAAAGTGTGATTTTCTTAGTTTACATTGGACCAAGGGCAAAAACAAATAGCGAGTTCTCGTCTGGGAGCTTAGTGTGTTGTATCTGTGTACTTGTTGAAACACACACCCAACAGTTTGTCAGTAAAAGTGTTACAAGGATAGGCGTGCACAAACAGACAAAAAATGACATTGATAGGTAAGACTATTTATTGTAGTCATTGTTATAGAACTTTTACCATTTACCCCCTGATGTTCACTCGTACCAGGAACATACCCCCATTTTTCCTTTTGGAACAAGGTTTCTGCATTCGCGAATTCTGAATTTGCGCGCGTTTTCAAGAACGTTACTACTCGTGGATAAAGAGGGTTCACTGCACGTGGCTAATTATTGGAGTGGTATTTTGTGAGGCTTTTCTGGGTAAACATGCGAAATAATAATATTAATAATAATTACCTACTGTGGCTCTCAAGAGCAAAGCAATGATGTGTTTGTTGAGGCTATACGGGGCGTCTTTGTCTTTGGGTATAGATGACCATCACAGAGGCACATCAGCTGAAGGCCGCTAAGGGATGGTGTCACAGCATCAACGTGCCTTTCTTCAGGTGAGATTCCTGCGGATCTAATGGGGACAATAACACGGAAGACAAATCACGCACACGCATGGCAGTGGAGTATTTGTGACAACACTCGTGCGTCACATTGAGAAGGGGCCTGGGTTCGATTTCAGACTTTGAGTGCCTTTCTGCGTGGATTTTGTGTTTTCTCTCCATTTGTTTTGCACGAGTATCCTCGGTGTTTTCCACTTACCTCCCCACAGCTAAAAAAACCCAACACAAATACATGTAAATAATTAAATTGGGGTCATACACAGCAGCAATATAGCCCCCTTGACTGACAACTTGTCTGGACCCTCCTGAAAAAAATCATGAGACTAAGGCATTGTCGAGTCAACAAGCGCACTGAACACATTCCTGCGGAGGGAGCTGGTAGGAACGTTGGGTTGCTCGGTCAATGGCCTGCAGGGTCAACGGCGGCGTGGTGTATTCCGCAAATATGCCCGACAGTGAGGGCTGGCACAAGCCGGCGTGAGTAGGTTAAACGTTGAGTTTTATAAGGGCACCACGGGGTGACCAGCCCCTCCCCACCCACCCCGCACCCAGCCCCTCCCCACCCTGCCCCTCCCCACCCCCTCCTCCCCACCCAGCCTCTCCCCACCTTCCCCTCCCAACCCAGCCCCTCCCTCCCCACCCAGCCCCTCCCTGCACGACGGACACAATAATCCCCTGTGGGCTGGTGTAACCAGGAGGTAAAATATATGTTTGCATTCAAAATAACAACCGTTGCCACTGCAGTTTCAGATTAGAGTGCGTCTGGCGTTTTCTGTAACTGCTCCCTCTTGTTGTGAAATGTATTTAAGGCGGTGGTTCTCAAAGTGTGGTCCGTGGAACCAGCAGTGGTCTGCGAAAGGTCCTCCAGGTGGTCCGCGCGGCTGTGATGCAAACGCAGGTCGATCCGGAAATATTGACAATGTTTCCACCATTTGTTTCGGACATTAATATTTAGTAATATTTAATAAAATAATTAAGTTCGGTAAACTACCCTTATTAAAGCATTCTAATCCTTATAGCTGCGTTTATTTTGTTTTTGTATGTTCCGGTAATACGAATCATTTTGTATTGCTGGTATTTAGATAGAGAAGTGAAATGCGGGTTGTCACCAGCGTTGGGGGGGTTGGTGGTGGTCCGCGGAAACGTTTGCATCGGCCGAGTGGTCCTCAAGCCAAGACAAGTTTGAAAGACACCGCATGAAGGTGAACAGCGTCGCTAAACTTTTTTGTGTTCCGTTGCAGGAAGAACCCCGAGTTCGAAGACCTTGTCAAGATTGATGAGACGGACAACACAAAGTTGCTGCAACTCATAAAGGAAGTGGATGACTATATACTCAGTGATTTGGATAACATGTCGCACATCGCAAAGCTGTTGTCACCCTCCGACGTGACGACTGGCTTTACTGCATAATCAAGCGGCAGCTACCAGTAAGGCCAGCACGTTTACTCACTTTGCGCCATCCGCCACTGTTAAACGTCATGGCGGGAATCCTGATTATGTTTGATCGTCGCCTCCCAGCGCTAATAATAAACTACGTTCAGCCATGAATACACGATAGCTCAATTATGTTTTAAGTCACAAGATCAATTTAATAATTTACATTGGGAGGCAGGTTTGGTGTCGGCAGCGCAGTGGTGATGCCCGTGCCTCACAGGAAGAAGGGTCCTGGGTTCGATTCCCAATTCAGGAATCTTTCTGAGTGGATTTTGTGTGTTCTCTCCGTCTATTCCGCATGGGTTTCCCCACTGGGTTCTTTCGTTTTCTCCCATGGTTAAAAACCCCACAATGTAACTGGTATTGACCATAAACATTCCGGTGCATCCCAATGCTGGGTGGGGAGGGTGGGGCTGGGTGGGGGGTGGGAGGGCTGGGGCTGGGTGGGGAGGGGCTGGTCACCCCGTGGATGCCCTTATAAAACTCAACGTTTAACCTACTCACGCCGGCTTGTGCCAGCCCTACAGGCGGGCATATTTGCGGAATACACCACGCCGCCGTTGACCCTGACCATTGACCGAGCAACCCAACGTTCCTACCAGCTCCCTCCACAGGAATGTGTTTATATAGTTATCATCTTAACAAATGGCATTATCGTTTGCTTTGCCACGGCCGTTCCGACGCACGGAGGCCAACGTGGTTATGCTGAAGTTGAGCCAGCAGCCGTGATCATAGATTTTCAATTAATGCCGAAATGTTTTCCCTATTTTGATTGCCATCTTCTAATTGTGATTATCGATATAAATGCTTCAAATTAAAGTTCTGAATCTGTGTACGTTAAACACTGTCTCACGATATGCACTGTTGTCCATATGCGTGTATTATAGCATTTCAGTCTACGTGTCTTACCGTCTTTCATGCAGCACAGTGCTTGATGATCCCAAATACCACAATTAAACGCCTTATACGTATCGTGTTGTTCTAAATGTAATTTCACGACTTTGCAATCGCCACGATGGTTCTTTTAATTGTAATAGCTGTGATGCGTGCTATTAACCTTTCATACCGTTGACTGTTGTTGTGTAGCAATTAGCATGCATTCATTTATCATATGGACAAGGGTTGACATAGGCACGCCATCATTGACATCTCTACAGGATCATAAAAAATATGTAAAAACCAAGATTTTCAATGCACACACTTTTATTTGCACACTAAAGTGCAACATACATTATTTTGACCCCAGAATGAATCACATTTTACGTGCTTAATAAATGTGGGTGGCTTGCATAAAGAAAATTAAACATCGAACGGATGCCAATCCACTTTTAATCAGCACATCAAATGTGATCAATTCTGGGGTCATAAAATAATGTATTTTGTACTTTTAGAGTGCAAATAAAAGTGTGTGCATTGAAAAGTTTGTTCTTTACCAATTTTTTCATATTATCGTGATTCTAGCCAAGTGGTAGAATGTTCCTGTAGATACACCTCGTCGATTGGACTTCAACCATGTATGCTGTGCTGCTGCAATTGATTAAATCGTTAAAGTTTATCATCTTAATTTTCATGTACAGCGTCTTTACATAACCAACTGGATGCCTCTCGTCATGGTGAAATGCGCTTCTGTATGATTATATGGTGGTGTGAATAAAATACAAATCAAGTTCAAGTTGTTTTTGTTTGACCATGCGAGATTTCAAGCGACTTATTTGCAAGAGTGGGTGAGTGAGTGGGTGACGAGTGGATGAGTTGGTTGGTTTGTGACATGGTGGGTGAGTAAATTATTGAGTGAGGTGATGAGTGTAAGTTTCAAGTTGGTTTGGTTGAACCAGGTGAGATTTTAAGAGACCAGGTTGAGACTTATTTATTGACAAAGCGAATTACAGCACTGCAGTAAATAGCAATACAAATTAAAACACACTCTTGAGACATGAGGAATCGAAAATACAGTATTGCACAAATATGAATCAATTTTGAACAGAAGCTCAAAATTACATTGCCTGGAGTGCAAATCGGTTTGGGTGAGATCAGCTCCAGATTGATCACTACATAAATAACAATACAGAAACGTTAAACATGAACGCATTCGTCCAAAACACCACCTTAAAAAAAGTTTATCGTGCAGTGTTATTGATGAATGCGTTAACACAATCTGAGTAATATGTAAACAAACATATGCAATCCATAATGGAGGTTTTTGGGTTAGATCGGGTTCCTATAAATGTCTCGTTAAACCCGCCACCACCCGACAGGTTTGTTACGTAAACAAAACATGCCAATTCGTTGCTAGTACACATCACTAACCGGTGTGTTGGGAGTAAACCCACTACAACATTTAAAATTCAAATACAGCACTGAACTTGTAAATATATTTACTCGATCTAACCCAAAAAAAACCTCTTGGATAATATTGGTCGCGAAATACCTACTACTACTACGTGTTAAACTAACAAACGATGTCAGTGAGGTTGTCAAGCAATCAACAGCGCAGCCTCAAGTTGTGATTCAGATGGGAGAGTAACCCAGGGCATTGCTGAAGTGATTAATTTCCTGGCGTTGTTCGTGTATTGGTGGCTCGCGTGGAGGTCTGCCCAACTGAGCCCAAATGCTGGCTTATTAGCCTGCGAATTCGGTAACAAGATGAACATACAATAAAGGGAGGACAGTTAAGGCTGGAGTCTGGCATTGATAAGAATGTGGAGTACCCACAGCTAAGCGATGCCAGGCACCTGCTCCACAATCTCAACATCACTATCTCCACACCCCCGGAACGCTGGGGAATATGATTACAAGAAACTCGGGCATTGTGTGTTGTTGTTGTATACTGTACTATGGAGTGATATTGATCCAGTTTTTACTTTAGCATTTCACCGAAGATAACTTTTGACTATCCCCTGACCACAGAACAAAGCCAAAATATATCCTGCCCTACATTAGAAATGTCAACCCATACGGTTTACCCGTATTCTTGTATAGGGAATTTACGTTTTCAAGTCCATACAGCGTACAGCTGTTTCAATATGGGGGAAAAAATGTCAATTCGTGTTTCCCTCTAGTGATGGGACTTTGTAGGATGAACATTGAGCTTTAAAAGGACATAGGGTGACCAATGAGGTCCGAATTGGTCTGTAATAAGATAGACACTGATAAGGGGTTGAAAGGTATGCTACATGTGAATGTAACAAGTGCGGTGCTATTATTGACCAGTATTGGGTTACACGCGTGAGATACCGTGCCATAGTTTCTCCGTGTTCGTCACAATCGGCAATGCCACTGCCTCGGCCTCGCTGTGCGCTGCGTTGCACCGCTATCTGAGTAGTTAACCTCGCATACAATAAACCCTCAGAGCCAGGGTGAACATCCGACTCCAAACGTCATTTATTGAATTGAACGAGGTAAAACTGATGGAAAAAAACAGCACAGATACACCATCTGTTAATAACTGGAAACATCAACACAATGCATGAACACTACAGCATCACAACATTGTCCTAGATAACATGTTTCTCAACAATATATCCTGGATCGACCAGGCTATTGTGTTAAATAAAGGCACATCGTGTAATCATCACACTGCACCCCAGATGTACAGTACTACACAACACTGCACTATGAATGAGACATTTCCTCATCCTTGCTCTCCAGATCGCAATAAAGTTACTTGGGTACACGTTTGACTCGACTTATTCGATTACAAATAACATTCACAATAAGGCAAGTCGCAGGCTCCGTTGTTAACGAGGCCTCGTATTTATCATAACATTTTAACAGCATTATAAAGGCATTTACAGCATTATAACGGCCATTATAACGTTATAACAGCATTCCCAGTATTATAAGAACATAAACGAACTTACAGACAATGCTTCTTAAAGTCCCACAATGGACAATTACAGCTGGCTTCACTGGGACGCGATGTGTGCCGCCATCTTGAATTCTAGTGTAATGGCGGAACCCCAGCCTCGTGGTCGAAAGGCTGTCAAACCGTAACTTCCTGTTCACGTGACCAAACTCACCCTCAAAACAGGAAAATCCTGTGTACTCACACCCCCACTCCTGCATTGAGCAAAACACCTGCCGCTGAGGCAGAACAGCCACGCCTGTCACACAGCCTGAGCCAGAGCCGGCCCAGCCACTAAGCGACCCTTGCAATTGCAAAGGGTCCCGTGGCCAGCAGAGGGCCCCCTAGAGTCACTGCTAGCTAGTGGGTGAAAAAAATCAAACATCAAAGGGGCCTCCAACCAAATTTTGCTTAGGGCCCCCAAAGGTCTAGGGCCGGCTCTGGCCTGAGCGGATGACGATCAGGGCACACGATGGAGTGGTAGGGGCTAACACCACCCCCGGCCGTCTATGCCTTCCCAGTGGTGATTATTTATTTTTTAAAGCTTTCGTGACTGCAGGAATTAATATTCTTTGGGTCTTTCGGTAATCATACGTAGATAGGTTCAAAGAAAATAACAAATAAAATAAACAGCCTGTCGCAGCTTTCCTCTCTTTTTTTGCCTGATGACGACCGCTTGCGTTGCGATTGAAACGTCGTCGTTTTTTTTTTTTACCTACGTGACTTTACTGAAAGACCCAAAGAATGTTTTTTTTTTACTTACACGCCCCCATGTAGCCCCTGTGGGCTTACCTGTGACTAATCGCACTGTAATAATTCAAATATATAATGCAGCATTCCATCCTATGATCCCAATGCGTAATGCATGGAAAGCAGGAAACAAAAACAGAGCCAGGGCCACCGACCAAACTAAAGAGGGAAGGTTTCCTCCTCTGGCTAAAAAGAACCCCACCAATGTAACTGGTATCGGCCAAACACCCAGCACTGTAAAATTACCTGCACATTCATCAATTAGGATCACACTCCAGAGTACAACTTTGTGGCATGTCAACAATTGCCCATCCTTTTGGACAGCCTGATGCGCACAATAAGATGTGGAGTGTCTATTTCTTGGCCAAAAATGCAGACATCCCCAGTGCCCCTTATGACAACAGGAGAGTGGATTTACCGGTCTGTGGAGGTGGCTTGAGCCCCGAGTTGAACTGAGATGTGACTGTTTTTAATGGCTCTATATGGAGGCGAGCGTCGAGGCGTTAGACATGCAAAGGGGAACCGTTGGTGACTCGGCAATTGCGCGCAGCGAGGATGCTCCACCGAGTGCCCTTGATATCTCCTTTCATTTCTCCTTCTTCTGCATGGCGTTTGAACAAAAAAATCAGCAGCAGCAGGCTGCACTTGTACGTTTAAAGTTGTGAGTCGTTCCATGGCAGCATTCGGGGCAGGAGCTAAGGGGTAGAATTCGGCTCAAAGCAGTTTAGCAAAAATGTGGTCTCCACCTGTTCTGTCTGTGTGCGGTAGAGCGTTTCCCATTCGCACGCGAGGGGGAAACACAGCAACACGTCGCAGACGCAGAGTGCAAAATTACACGTGCGATTCATCACAGGTAAGAAAGGGTAAAGCTTATTCTTCATGTTTCATCATTGCCTTAAGCCAATTCATTTACCAGTTGTCACACGTTGAGAAAGTTCATCTGCTGCCAATATTTGGTCCCAACCGAGTCGCTTGGTCTTCCACGAATTGCGTTGCGTCGTCTTTTTTTTTGTGTTGAAATCTAATTCACCTTCATTGCTCATCATTGTTCAATCTGTGTATGAAGCTATTGTTAAGTTTAGTCCTCGTTTGTAAATATTCTGTGCGTACTATACTCTTTGGTTCTTTCGGTAAAGTCACGTAGTTTTAAAATAAAATAAAATAACGACATTTCGATTGCAACACAAGAAATCATCATCAGGTGGGAAACCACAGCCCAGGTCACCCTTTTCTTTTAATGCAATGTGCCGGGTTTGTAATTCAACGGCTGCTTCTTCTTTTATATGGCATTTTTGGGGATTGCGACATTACAACTCTATGTCGAGATATGATATCCATTCGACTCCTTCAGGAGTAGCCAAGTGGATATTTTTCAGATCGCCGTTGAATGATCTGATTGGGCAGTCGTTCACGAGATATTGCACAGTCTGAGATGTCCCACCACCACGGTCACAACCTGGACTCTTCGCTAATTTTCTATTCGTGGAGAAAGTGTCCCATGTCTTCCACGGAGTGTCCAAATCCGATTTAAAGGAGGACCAGATTTTCCTTGGTCGGTCACCTGCTAATTGGAGGATTGTAGGGTCGCTGACGATGGATTTCTGCAGCAGGTTGGTGTTTGCCCAGGCTTCCTTCCAGGAGAGCTCTTCCACATTCTGGGTTTCCTGACTATGTACTCCTGGAGCAGGGACTCGCTTTATACGCTCCAGGATAGGGTATATTCCACCCGGTAACCCTGGGGGATGTGTGAGTGGGCTGCTTTGAGCATAATCTTGGTGAAGTGTTAGAAGTTTTATGGCTTTGGTGGGATCCAGGAGAGGGTGCGCTCGATGTCTTTAGTAAAAGGTTCCCAGTTGGCCTTCCTTAAGTTGTATCATGGCACAGAGGTGGACATGATCATCGGGATTTCGACCCCAATATGTACCAAGACCGGCCTGTGCTGACGATTCGGGATATTGTCTAGAACCGTTCTGGAAGCTAACAGCGGTTCAACCGAACTGGCACACGACACAAAGCATAGGTCAGGGTTTGAAATCTGTCATCATGCAGAATGGAAAGTTCCTCGATCTTTAGCGTCGATCGGTGACTAATAGGTAACTATTCATTCGCCTATTTAAAATCTGTGCATCAGAAAGTTGTTTTAAATGTAATTCTCATAAGAAACCACGGTATAAATTGAAGTCTCCAACTACTATAATCCACTGTCTCTCTCAGCCCACTATTGTGTTATGAAGACAGGACTATTGCCCGAAACATCACCTGTTATATCGTAATAATTTCAACCTGTCATATGCTGTGGAGGATTCACTGAAATAATAAGTGTTTACATGTGGGAGTACACCCAGAAAAAACCCACACGTGCTAGAGATAAACGCTCTACCCAACTCAGACAGAGCAGGTGGAGTCCACATTTTTGCAGGACTGCTTTGAGCCGGACTCCACTCCTCAGCAACTGCCCCGAATGCTGCCGTGGAATGGTACAACTTTTTTAATACACTTTTATTACAACAAAACGGGAGCCTGGTACGACACGGTGAAAGATTCTAGCGATGAAGTGCAGAGAACCCGCGGTAATCCATTTGGGCGAGACGGAACTACACAAAAGGAGGACGGAAGGAGGGGTATAAGGCGGCCGGAGGATGGCAGGTATGTGTAGAAGGGAAGCAGTGCGTAGGAAGGGGGGGGGGGGTGAAGTCGTGGACTGACAGGTAACGGGGAGCCTCGTCCTGGAGCAGGGACCCCCAGTAATAACATCCGGTGCCTTGCAGTGGGGTCTGCCGTACGGCGAGGCGGGGGTTGGGGGGACAAGAGGAAGAGAAAGATGTGAAGGGAGAAGAGGGATGGGAGAGAATGGGAGGATGGGTGGTTGGTGAGGGTGGGAGAAGAGAAAGAGGATGACTTGAGAGTGATGCGGAGGGGGGTGGGGATGGAAGCACATCACAGGGTCAGCAGGAACGGCGGCGTGGACGGATATAGGAGGGAGAGAGTAAATAATATTGTGGTGGAACTTGGTGTTGCGATTAACAAAGCGCTTTAATGGGGAGGGTTTGTAGAAGCTCCAGTATTCCTCCCACTTGGATCTCTGGTCTGGAGTTGACCGGGGAAGCCAGTGGAGACGAAGCCTTGCGTTTTTGTTTTGTTTTTCCCAGGGGACGTGTCCTTCATTGGGCACGGAGATGTGGAGAGGAGAATTCCCCTTGTTCTAGGCACGAGGTTAGGCTCGATTGGCTCCGCCCTCGCTCTGCCCTGCCCTGGCTCCGCCCCGGCTCCGCCTTAGCCGCGTCACCCTTCTCGAACTCACCAGAGGGTTCCAGGGGCTTCCTCACGAGGTCTACCGTGACCCTTACCCCAGTTCCTCCGCCCTGCCGGCACACACGCGTATGCTCAGCGGCGTGTGCGCTAAGTGCCCACCTGCAGTTGCAGCTGCTGTACAACAGTCAGCGCTATGTCACTACACATATGTTAGGACACGAGAGGACCTGGAGAAAACTCACACGTGTGAGATGGGGGTAACGCTTAATCGCTATACAGATGAAGTACAGTTGGAAATCAAACCCACTTGCTGTACTGCCATGATATCCTGCCAGGAGATTTTGGGAGTTTCAGGACTGTGTGTGTGTGATCCAACAACCCTCATTACCTCTGCAATGCTGCATTAGAGATCACGTGCAGCATAGCCGCCTGCACATGTTGCAATCAGCATGGTGTGTAATATTTTAGATGGCAGAGTGGTGGCCGCGCCGTGGTAATACTCAGGTCTCATAGTAAGAAGGGGCCTGGGTTTAATTTCCGACTCAGGAGTTGTTATGTTCTCCCCCTGTTCTGCATGGTTTTCCTCTGGGTTCCCTCCGATATATGAAAATCTACTCCCACCATCACACACACAATGTAGCTATCTGATAGGGCAGCCCTCGACTTCAAAGTTCAAAAGTTCATTTATTAGGTATAGCCCTGTGAGCCATTCGGCTCTTGAATCGGGTGCAACCGCAACAAACAAAAACATAAACAAGAAAACATCTTAAAGTGACTATATGCAAACAGAAAATCCAAGAAAAGACAGCAAAATATTACGGACGTAATTCGTCCCTGCAACCTGTTCGTAAGTCAAACTCTTCGTAAGTCGCAATACAACAGATGTCCAGTAGGGGTGGTTCGGAAAGTTACAACAGCAAACAATACAGAATACGATGGGAGTGCAAAGTGTAGTAAAGGTAAGCAAGTACACACAGCAGCAACATCGCCCGTCTGCTGTGAAGACTCTGGCAGGAACCTCCCGAAAAATAGTCTTGAGACTCAGTGAGTCTTCCCTGGGCAAACAAGTGTCAATAATAACAATGAAATTAATTCCTCATAATGTAACACCTCTAGGCTCTGCCAACTCTGCAAATACAGTACAATGGGCGAATGGGTCAAAGGGTGACTGGGATTTTTACGAGTGGGTTAGTCAGTGGGTGATAAAAGAAAATCTCACATGTTAAGCAGCCACACCTGAGCAGTCAACAGGAGCTTGTATTGTACAGGAGGTTGTGGTGCAGAATGTTACCCTAGATTATATTGACCGACACGCTCCACAGTCCTAACGCTCGCCCACACATAATTGCTCTCGGGCAAGGATGATATCACTTGAGTTGCGAACACGTGTGAGGACACGAGGCAGTGTATCGTTAACCGTAGAGAGAAAAGTCAAACCTTCCTCCGCCCTAGGGCATGGGTGTGGATTCCTGGTGGACTGGATGAATATTAATGTGCGATTAAACGTTTTCGGACTTTGCGGATCGCCACCATTGGCCCCGTCTTCTTCCGCACAGAGAAAGCACTCGAGATACCCTGACAGTAGAGGTGAGTGGATGTGTTTGCTCAGGGTCAAGGTAGTAGTGAGTATTCGGGGTGGTGGTGAGGCTCAAGGTGAGTGGCGATGCATGTGATCAAGGTTATGGCTTGTGGTGAGTACTCACGACAAATTATTGCTTACATTCAATTCCACTTCCACTACGGAAAAGACCCTCGCATTCTGCAAGCTGTATAATCGCACTTTATGTAATCTTTGAGCGTGAACGTTTCATCTTCATGGTTCATAATTTGTGTGCAGTATTCCGTATCTTGTAGCCATGAATATTTGGATTCTCACATTTTGACTTTTGGCCATCTGTGTGGATAAAGAGATTTGGGTGAATAGATGTAAACATGTCTAAATGGGCTGTCACCTGTGTGTGGGTAAAAGTGTCCATGTCAGGGCTTAGACAGGTGCGCGATGTTTAGGCGAACGATGCGTTTAATGTGTCGTATCACCTGGTGAGAGAGGCGTTTTTGGGTGACTTTACGGTGAGGTTTTTTTTCAACTTCTTCTTGTAAGTCGGAGTCGCAGTTGCGCCCGTGCAGGATAGATAAGCAGAGGTTCTGTGCAACACTGGGAGTCGGGTATGGAAGATGTGGATCCCGCCAATGAGTAATATAACCTCAAGCAATCCCCACGGGCAGTTGGTGATAACAACACCACCACCACAGTGTCTCACCCCAATACAGAACAATCTATAGAGCTATTTAAATCTGCCCTGAAAACTCACCTCTTTAAAATGGCTTTTTCCCCATAGTTTCGGTCCTTTATGCTGGCTCTGTCTTATTTCCTGCTTTCCATACGCGGCACGTTGGGATCCTTGGATGAAATGTGCCTTTCAAATGTGAAATATTATGAGTAAGGTGTACATTTTCGCAGGCAAATATTGCGATTCGTAACTGGTTTGAGTTGGGCCACTACCATCCATTCCAATTTTGTGAGAATTGTTCAACTCACAAGATGAATGGGTTGAAACGATCATAATAATCAGCACGTTTAACGCCCATACACCGGGTGACGATTTAATATATTTGGCCACGTCGGGTGGTGAAGGCGTCTTAAAAATACAAATTTGGTCATGTCACTACGAAAGTGGCTTCACCCTTAAAAAAATAAATTACGAATCGGAATGCCATATCCTTTTCTAGGTGACACTCCGCAGGTGACACGCCATGGACAACATCCCCAAAACGATAATCTCGTTGGAGTATGAGCTCTTCTCTGCTCAAGATCTGGGGGCCTCCGTGCTGAAGCTGGAGGCCGTGACCCTGCACAAGGTTGGGGCAGAGTCGCCCACTTTCTATGGGGTGATGAAGGAGTCAGAAGAACCCGAGCGGTGGGCCAGGTGAGGACGGCTTGGTCCGCGCACGTTCCACGTCGCTCGCTTCACGCAAAGGAGCTGCTCCGAGGGCCATGCTTCCACGTGGGGCGACAGGGCGGTGGTGGTGGCGGCGCAGTGGTGACTAGAGGACGACCGAAATTCGGTTTCAGTTTCGGCGCCGAAAGTTGGCAAATGGCCTCTTTCGGCATAGTTTCGGTTTTGGCCGAAAGTCAACTTTTTACTTTCGGTTTAATTTCAGTTTCGGCCGAAAGTCAACTTTTTACTTTCGGTTCACTTTCGGTCTCGGCCGACACCAGAAATTAAGTTTCGGTCGGCCTCTAGTGGTGACGCTCGTGCCTCACAATAAGTAGGGGCCTGGGTTTGGTTCCAAACTTGGGCCACCTTTCTGCGTGTAGAATTTGTATCTTCTCCCCATGTTCTACATGGGGTTCCCCGGTTTCCTTCCATAGCTAAAAAAACACACGAAATTTAACCGGTATTGGTCAGCAAACCACAACCCAAATGCTGAAAAATTACCTGCAATTTACTCATTTAGGATCTCACACACAGCAGCAACATTGCCCCCTTCTGTGATATCCTCACAGGGATCTCCTGCAAAAGAGGCATGAGACTTGGTGAGGCTCTCTTGGTAAGTAATAATAAAATCGGGTGAGATGAGGGTTTTGCATTGGGTGAGATGAGGGTTCGAGAGCAGATGAAACGGGTGATCGAGTCATCAGACTCACAAGCAAGACACTTAGAGGGGATGAGCTCATCAGTAGGAGGAAGGGAAATTATCACGGGACGAGGAGACGGATAAGGGAGCGATGGGGGAAACGCCAGGAGGGGAAGAGATCGGGATCGCAGTGATGCAACAGACAGGGCTTATTCGGAGCACGCCGGACAAAATATCAGCGGTGAGTTTATGTGCTAATGCCGGAACGTGGACCGTCGATGGATAGCCTTTCAAGTTCTTTCTTGAGGGTCTTCCCATGTGGTCCCCCCCACCTCCCCTCGGCCACTACCCGGCATCGCAGAGTGTTCACGGAGCGTGACGAGGGCGCGGCGCGGGAACTGGCGGAACGGCTGGACGCGTCCCTCCGCCCGTTCACGAGCTGCCCGCGGGACGACGGCGACGACGACCAGCAGAGACGACGCAAGCTCCTTGCCGTCGCCCGGTGCCTCCAGGAGCGGCCGAAGTGGACGCTGGCGCACGTGGCGGCCTACTGCGGCCTTCACCAGGCCCTGTCTCACGCCGAGGTCTGCAGGTGGGTGCGGCGGGGAGGCCGCTGGACACAGGCTGAAGCGAGGCCACATCCTGTCACATACGAGTTTAATCTATAACAACAAGATGAATGTTGAATTTGGCTGGGTCACGTAGCCCACATGCCGAGCCACCGCATTCCCAAGTAACTTCTGTTTGGGCGTGGCACGGGCTGGAGAAGCGATGGAGTGATACGGTACAGGAGGATGTGGAGCTGGGTGGACTTTCCGATGATCGTTACCAGCGGTGTCAAGATCGGCCTCTGTGGAGGAGGCTCGTCAAGGACACTGCTGGGGAGTTGGAGGCAGTTGCACGAGTTCAATTCCCACTTACAGCCAAAATAAGTACCAGGTCCTGTACATAAATATCAGTGCTGGGCAGACAAAAGTGGCCGGTCGTGGTCATAGCCACTTCATAGGTGCTCGCTAACAGCACTTTCCCCAACAGCCTGTGTGGGCTACACGGGGGAACTTTGTGTCTTTGTGTGTGTGTGTGTGTCGTGTGCTACGAATATGGCGACCAGTGACTTTTATCTAAATCAGTCCTGGGCCTCCCCTAGGTCGACTCAGCCTCAAATGAGTACCTCATGCGATGTGTAAACCTTGGCACTGGGGAGACAGACCACAATACCTGCAGCCATTTTGTTTGCATTATGGCTGCAGGTATTGTGGTCTATGCAAACATGACTCCTTGTAAAAAAGGTGTCAGTTTTGTTGCCAGATAGAAGGGTAAAAAAACTATTATCAGGTGCTATTTCGATTTAAAGCTTTCGTGACTGCAGGGATTCATCTTCTTGGTTCTTTCAGTAAAATCACGCAGAAGGGAAATAATAAAATAATAAAAATAAAACATAATAAAATCCAATTCTCACGACGTTTCGGCCACAACGCAAGCAGCCGTCCTCAGGTGAAGAACAGGTGCTACTCGCTAGCAGCACTTACCCCAAACAGTTTGTAAAGGCTACACGGGGGGGGGGGGGGGGGTCCTTGTCGTTGTGGCGGCAGGAGCATCGACGAGCCGGAGAACGACAACGGCCGCACCCCGCTGATGATGGCTGTGGAGGCGAAGCAGGTGGCGTGCGCGCGTGGGCTGCTGGGTATGGGTGCGCGCCCGGAAGTGGCGGACAAGCAGGGGAACGTGGCAGCGCACTACATGGCCGCTCAAGTCGACGACGACGTCGCCATGGTAACGCAGCATCTCCATCACGACGCCTGACAACCAGGGCGTTGTTACTGCGCTTGTTTACTTACCCAGGAAAGCCTCGCCGAGTCTCACGACTCTTTTCAGGAGGGTGCTGCCACGTGTTTTGTTTGTTGCTGTTGCGGTAAGGGTGGGGTGGGTGCGATGTTCCTGCTGCTGCTGTGTAATTGTTGAAGCTATTGTTTTACCACTGTTTGACTGCTGTGATGCTTCATCATGGGACCTCCTTTTCCAGTACCAAAATGAGCATAGGTTTTCCCCTTTTTTCTGGCAACAAAACAGGAATCATGTCTGCATTAACCACGATACTTGTGGTCAGAATGCAAAAAAAATACTCTGATAATATATGCATTACAGTGACGCTGATTACAGATCAGCCACTAATGAATCACTAAACAGACGACACCCCCTTTATCATTCTGCTCTTAGATTTGCACTTGAAGTACCATACATGACCCACCTTTGTGGCCTCAATTTAATATCCAATCTCACATCACTTGGTACTTGTTTATCCATAAAATCCGTATTCGCAAATATGTGCTATACAGTACTTAACTAATTCATTTAACCCCACGGAATAGATGTACTTATGCAATTAGAAATTATTAATTAATTTAAGGGGCGCCACCGTGTGTAAACATTGCCACGTGGGAGACAAAAGCAGCACCGATGAGGGCTGGAATAGAACACGAGCGGGTGGGGTGGCCAGCACCACGCCCGGCCTACTTTGTTTCCCCAGGGGTGATGGTCACACATATGTTGAACTTCTTTCGCGCCGTACGTAGCCAACCGTGCTAATCGGAGGTGCGGGGGAAGGACAACCATACACAGCAAGCAGTTCTAAAGACATTATTTTCATACTCTTAGGTTTTTTCGGTAAAGTCACGTAGGCAAAAAATAAAAGAAATAAAATAATATAAATAAAATAAAGTAATAAATCACGACGTTTCGGAGGCAACACAAGTCTCCGTCATCAGGTAGGACCGTCACAGCTATATTTACTGTATCAAGTGAGGCAACAAAAATTCAAGATACAAGTTCATAAATACAAGTTAAGGGGCGAAAAAACCTAAGAGTATGAATCCTTGCAGTCACGAAAGCTTCAAATCTAGAATAAATACATTATTTTCAATGTAGATTTTTTTTTAAATGTAGTCACAGTCACATAATCGTCACTGGTGTTGCTTGCCGTGAGCGGGAATCGAATTCGAGTCTCTGCCACGTTTGTTGCGCACCCACCCACACTTTGTGCCTCGTCCCCTCGGCGGCGCCAGCTGATCTACGACCTAGCGGAGGGCGGCACGAAATCGCTGGACTCGCGTAATGGCGCCGGCAGCACGCCACTGCACGTGGCCGCACGTGCCGGGGCGCTCTCCGCCGTCATCGCGCTGCTGGCCAATGGCGCCGACATCGACGCGAGAGACGAGGCCCACGGAGACACGCCCCTGCACGTGGCCATCAAGGTGAGACACCCACCTCCTCCTAGACCCCTCGCCACCCGCCAGTTGGTGATTTCGAAAACTTCACTGGTTTGGCCATGTTTGTTTGTTGTAGTACGGAGTAAGACTGATGGCCTTAATCTAAGTTGTCTTGTGGTTGTTGTTGTTGTTGTTTGACTTGCATCCCACTGGGATTTTTGCACACTGCGTTGGTGTACGGTGCTTTTTCTGCAATATTTTGCTGTCTTTTCTTGGATTTGCACTTAGTCACATATTCACTTTAAGATGTTTTCTTGTTCATGTTTTTGTTTTTTGTTTGTTGCGGTTGCACCCGATTCAAGAGCCGAATGGCTCACAGGGCTACACCTAATACATGAACTTGAACTTGAACGAGCGGGGAGAAGGGGGCACACCTTGCCCCCCCCCCAACCCCTGGAGGCCAAATCTACGAATTGTGTGTGCCCTTGATTTAGGGGCCGTCCATAAATGACGTCACGCGAATTTGGACGATTTTTAACCCCCCCCCCCTTCGTCACACGGCGTCACAAATTCAGACCCCCCCTCAAATATGACGTCACAAAGCTCTGCCCCCCCCCCCCCCCAAAAAAAAAACATGCTTCAAATCGCTTTAAACTATTGTCATTGTAGTGCGTATTTAATGTGGCGCTGCACTCTGATGTAGGAGAAAACATCTATTAAAAAGTTTATTAAATTAAGTAGAACGTGTCGTCGAAATTTATGTTGAGAAGCTCTTGACTCGGAGACGGAGTTGCAGGTAAGGGGCTTCCGCCGGTGTTTATTTAAGGTCTTCATTGGATGTGTAATGCTGTGTGGAAGCTACCTTAGTGGCGAATGGAAGTTGTTGTGTAACAATTTGGGTGTAAGTCTATTAAAGGCTATATGGAGATCTTGTGTGTGATGATGCTTCGTGTCCTTACAGAGCATCCTGCAAAACATGAGCGACAGCCACAGCTCAAGCGGCATCATTGACCATTTGCAGGTGAGCTCCACGCGTGCGCGTCTCTGTGAGACGGCTATAGGGGACGCCTCTCGTGCATGAGAGAGAAGCTAGGTGAGTGCAGGTGAGCACCTTTTGCGGTGTGTAAACAAAGCCACTCGGGAGACAAAGGCGGCCGGGCGCAGATGCTGGCCACCCACCCCTTCGTGTGCCGTGTCGGCATTCATAGGCGCAACTTGCTAACAGCGCTTGCCCTGACAGTCGTTGCTGTGCTCTGCGCTTTCAGAATCTGTGCACGGTGGTGAAGGCCCTGGTGTTGTTTTCAGCTGACCTGACGGTGGAGAATAAAGATGGACATTCGGTGTGGGACCTTGCAGCAGACGTGCACGCCGGGGGTGAGAGATCGGCACACGGCTCGCTTCACCGCATGCGCACGGCGTAGAGTCCAGCGGTCCCCAAACTTTGTGGCACCAGGGACCGGTTTCGTGGAGGGGGGGGGAGGGAATGGTTTTGGGATGATTCAAGCGCATTACATTTATTGTGCACTTTATTTCTACATTGTAATATACAATGAAATAATTCAACAACTCACCATAATGCAGAATCAGTGGGAGCCCTGAGCTTGTTTCCCTGCAACTAGACGGTCCCATCTGGGGATGCCGCCGCTGATCTGACAGGTGGCGGAGCTCAGACTTTAATGCGAGCGATGGAGAGCAGCTGTCAATACAGATGATGAAGCTTCATCTGTCAATGCAGATGATGAAGCTTCATCATCTGTCAATACAAATGATGACGCTTCATCATCTGTCAATACAGATGATGAAGCTTCGCTCGCTCGCCCACCGCTCATCTCCTGCTGTGCGGCCCAGTTCTTAACAGGCTACGGACCGGTACCGGTCCGTGGCCCAGGGGTTGGGGACCCCTGGCGTAGACGACAACAACAACAGACGCCGTTCGCCACTAAGTGGGAGTGATGTCACCACGGCGCCTGTGCCAGGCTAGGTGCACTTTGAGGCCACGTGGAGCGTCGCAGTCTCGTTGCTGGCAGGAGGTCACAGTGCAGACCCAGGTGCCATGGGTTGTCTGACTTGAGATGACTGGCAGATGCACCCAGCTGTGCCGCCTGCTGTGTCAACTTGCTGCGTTTTATCCGCACTGCGCTCCACTCGTTGTTTTGAGCGTCGCTCCTCAGCCCTACGCTGTTGTTGGAGGCGAAATAGCGTCGAACAAAAAGTTAAATGCTCGGCCAATACCAGTTACATTATGTGTTTTGTATTACCTATGGGGGAAAGTACAAACTCCGCACACATAAAGGCGCCCGAGTTAACAATCGAATTCAGGACCCCTTGTAGCTGCGAGGCACGAGGGTTTTCACCACTGCACTGGCGCCTTGTGACGATGTTTGTTGTGTTTGTGCAGGCGTGAAGGACCAGGTGTTGTCACTGCTGCGACACGGCGAAGCCTACGCACGCGCATCAGCGCCAACTCAGGTTTCAAGGTGAGAACCCGGGAGGGCACGTAAATGGACGAGGTGGGGGCAGGGGTTACCCTCAGTCGGGGGTGACAGGATCACGTGATGGGGATCCAGAGTCTCCACGAGGGTTCTGGAAGGGGGGCGTGGCCAGGCGCGGGGCCGGCCACGCCAGGGGAGTTGTAAGCGGGGTCCCGAGAGGGATGGGGCGTTCAACCGTAGTGACACAACCGCACTCTATGATAACTGACGCCAAACTGTATCACTCGCATGGCCTTGTGGGAGTCTCGGTACCAGTAAAGTTATTTTATTTTTTCTTCTGGTTCCGATTCAAGAAAACGTATACGTACGTCATCGGAATGAAAATAAATGATGCTTACGTCTTCGGAACGGTGAAGGGTTAAGAATCAGAGAGAGGAGCGTATGTTCTACGCACACTCCTGGCATCGATGAAAGTCACAGAAAATCGCCGAGTGAATCCAGACCAGTGATTGACACTCGAACTACGGACAGTGGCATCAGACGTCTCGCATTGATGATCATGCTACTGCTGCCCCCAGCAGACAGAACTCACAACACAGACCACGTAACTCTGTTTATTTCTGTAACTATGGACCAGGACCCAATGACTCCGGTGCTACTGCGGAAGAAGACGGCAAATCAAGGTATTTTGTTGGGATCTTGTCTTTTTAAAATCTGTTCTGTTCGCTGAAATAATTTATACTGGTAGGAACCACCCGGTTCCACCAGTCCACAGGGGATTATTGTGTCCGTCCGTCCATCGTGCATCCAAAAATGGGAGGAGTGGGGCTGGGTGGAGAGGGGAGGGTGGGGAGGGGCTGGGTGGGGAGGGTGAGGAGGGGCTGGGTGGGGGTGGGAGGGGTGGGGCTGGGTGGGGGTGGGGCTGGGTGGGGAGGGGCTGGTCACCCCGTGGTGCCCTTATAAAACTCAACGTTTAACCTACTCACGCCGGCTTGTGCCCGCCCTCACAGTCGGCCATATTTGTGGAATACACCACGCCGCCGTTGACCCTGGCCATTGACCGAGCAACCCAACGTTCTTACCAGCTCCCTCCGCAAGGAATGTTTTTACAATCGCCACCTCTGAGCCCAGTCGATCAAGATCCAAGAAGGGCTTCGTGCATCCTCACGCAATATCAAAAATCCCCCTCCTGTCCTTGTTGTAAAATTCCTACCGGGTTTGGACACAGCTTGGGGCAGCAGCCCTCGTCATCCAGCAGTGGATTTACAAACGGGTTGCACTCAATTGTGACGTATCGTTGTGAATAAGTACCGGTTATGTATGTGTTGAACCTCTTTTGCACCGTACATAGCCAACCACGCTAACTGGAGGTGCGGGGGAAGGACAAACTAAATACAAAAAGCAGTTCGAAAGAAATTTGTTTTTCAATCTCGATTTAAAAGTGCATAGCTGCAGTGGCTTCATATCAACGGAAGAGCGTTCCATAGAAGCGCATCTGAAAGCGCGAAACAGTGATCATCTTCGTTCGATGGCTAGACAAAAGCCGCTGCTGTGAACATAACCAGAAAATCGGGAACCGTTCACACAACCGCATGCCACCTCGATTGTGTATTGATGTTTTTGAGCCAGGCCAGGCCAGAATTGAGCGAGGATCAGACAACCACCAGTCATGATGATGATGTATGTATATAAACAAAAAACTATCATTAATTATACATCAATGCGGGGGATGCGCTGCAGGCAATTTAAAATGAAAGACAAGCCACAGTAGTTGGATTGTGGCCATCCAACCCAAATTTTGGGGGGGGGGGCACGGTGGCAGGATGTTAAATACCTTGCCTGGTACGCAGGAGGTCATGGGTTCGATCCCGACCCTGACGCCTGTATATTTGAAGTTTGGGTGTCTCTCTCCCTGTGGTCATGTGGATTTTTCTGCGGTTCCTCAGATTTTTCCCTCCACATTAAAAAAAATGATGCATTCAGATTTGGCTGCGATACATTTGCACATGATCAGCCACTTCGTTGAGCTATCATTTGTGGCCAGGTCGCCTCTGAAAAAGAGCTAAATAGCTCAGTGGAATATATCTTTTAAAATAACAATAGTTAGCCGACTCTCGTGGTGACTCGGTGCTTATCTCTGTGTGTGCGTTGCAGCGTCACTCTCGGTGGGGGAGGCCGCGTGCTTTGCATGGACGGCGGTTTTTCCTGGAAAAATAAAAGTTACCCCGACCCTCATGGTGACTCGGTGACTATCTCTGTGCCCTCGTTGCAGCGTCACGGGCGGCAGTGGTGATGGTGGTGGCGCGGCACCTGTGCTCGGTGGGGGAGGCCGCGTGCTCTGCATGGACGGCGGTGGCATTCGGGGCCTGGTGCTCGCTCGCATCCTTGATTTCCTCTGGCGAAAGAACAATCGGCGGAGCTTGGCTGAGCTCTTTGACTGGGTGGCCGGTACCAGCACGGGCGGCATCCTGGCAATCGCCATAGCCCTTGGTAAGTCCTCGTCTTCCCTTATCATCATCATCATCATCACCACCATCATCATCGAACTCTAGCAGAGCAGTGTGTCACATTGTGTTATTAGAGAATGGCCCACGGAACCTGATATCATACAGCTAGCCCTTTAATAAATGTTGCTCACTTGATGCAGTAATTTTAGCTGTGACGGTCCCACTGATGACGGAGACTTGTGTTGCCTCCGAAACGTCGTGATTTATTATTTTATTTTATTTCCATTATTACTTTCATTAACTTTTAATTTTATTTTTTACCTACGTGACTTTACCGAAAAAACCTAAGAGTATGAATCCTTGCAGTCACGAAAGCTTCAAATCTAGAATCATACAGCTAGCTCTGAGCCACCCTTCTTCAAAGGATGCTTTGGCTCGCACAGAAAAGCCTACGGAACTGGATACCATTGAGCTACCTATGAAATATCTCTTCTGCAAGTGACATTGGTTGCACACAGGAGCAGCACGTTCCCACCCGCTCTGCCACTGAGAGTAGTGTTCGTTCTCTCAGTTGGAATTCAGCCTAATGTAGTGCAGAACCAAAATATATATTTTTTATAAAATAGTTTTATTCCACATCCTCCCTCACATCATAGATTGCAACATTCGGACATTCTGGCCGGTAGTATCGGGGGCATCGACGGTATCAGCAGGCACACCGGACTCATCCGAGCAGACGGGGGAAGGGGAGGAAGGTATTTTACTGGTAGGAACCCGAGAGGAGCCCAAGTTGGGAGTCAAACCAAGGCTCCTTCTCGCTGTGAGGCGCGAGCGTCACCACCTACCGCTAGGATGAAAAAAAATTGCAAGAAAAACTTGTCCTTGAAAAGTGCTTTTTTTTTATAACGTTGCTTGGTTTGTTTCAGGATTTCAACCACCGAAAATAATGGGGACGTACTTACAATTGAAGGACAAAGTGTTCCGAGGAGCCAAGCCACATTCAACCATAAAGCTGAAAGAGGCCATGAGAAGTGTATTTAAGAACGTTAATCTTGGATCCACCACGCACCCAAGGTAGCGACATATCCTCAACCAACCTTATGCATCATTACACATCATTACACGTCATCATAAACACCTCATTCGAGACCCGACCCAAACATCGCACCACCTCCTGGCTTTGACATTGCTCCTCGAAGACACTGGTGGTGTAACCATCAACTGCATCAAAACATCAACGGGCCAATGCACACCAGATATCTTTCATAAATGGAAAATTAAGGACAAGAGCCACAGTAGTGCGGTTGTGGACAGTCAACCCAAACTATCGACCGTATATAATAGATAAACTGCAGTCTGTGGTTCTTCAACGTAATTTAGCACAACTGGGTGAGTTATCTCTCTCCTGCAGCCCTCTCGTCATGGCTAGCAGACCTCGACATTGGCATTTAGCTCCTGAGTGTGCGCAACAATCCAGGGGGGGCTGCCGTGTGCTGGCTCAGAGGTCAGGGACCCTGGGCCGGTTGCTCCGAGATCCTGGCTGGATGTTAAACGAAACTATTAACCTAAACTTTTTTTTATTTTACCAGGCAAGGCCCACTGAGCTATTGAACTCTTTTTCAGAAGCAACCTGGCCACAAATGAGCAGCCTTGCCTGCCGGAGGAGCTCACTGATGGGAATGTGTCCAGATATTTCAAAGATTTGTGAGCTCATATAATCCAGCCTGGTTAAACCCAGGATAGATTGTAGGCAGGCCAGCCTGAATGTTTCTAACCGGCGCAGATGTTCCATTAGAGAGGTCCATGTTTCACAAGCGTATAGGAGGGAGGGCATGATTGTGGCCGAGAAGACCCAAAGCTTCGTGTGGAGTGACGGACCAGGGAGCTTCGGCACAGCAGTATGCAGCAGATGAAAAGATAATGCCACTGGTCATAAGCACACTGCCCAGGAATGGGAAACTCTCCACTCTCCACAATTGCTCCATCACCAATGGGGAGCTGAGGGGGTGGAGTGTTTTATGGCACAAAATACCCAGGCAGGTGCTTAGTTTTGGTGGTGCTAATGATAAGACCCCACCTCTTAGTAGCACATTCCAGGTTCAACAACAGCACCTCCATCTCCTCGTCTGAGTGAGCAGCAATCACCAGATCATCAGTATATCTAAAATTGGTCACCAATAGGGAGCAATCCCTCAACTGCACCCATGCATCGATCAGCCTCCAATTGTATCTGTACCAGATGGAAATTCCTCCGGTACAGCCATGGAAAGTTGCTTGAACTACGTGGTCAAAGATGATGTTAAATAATGTGGGAGCCAGGGGACATCCCTGTAGCACCCCAAGGTGAACAGGGAATGACTCCGACTCCGACTCCTGGCTACATAGCTTTACCGCGGCCTGCCCACCATCATGAAGGTCCTTAATGATTGTGAGCAGAGAATCAGGGACTCCAAAAGCAAGAAGAACTGCTCTTAGCCTTGGCCTGTTGATGGTATCATAGGCCTTGGCCAGGTCAATAAAGCAGAGATGTAGGTCTTGTTGGAATTCCCTACACATCTGCTGAAGCAGACGCACATAGAATATGGCATCCGTGCAGGACCGCCCTGGTCTTAAACCACATTGGAGCTCCGCAAGCCTTTTATCTGCATGCCTGGCAAGGGAATGTTGAATAATCCTTGCCAGGACCTTTCCGGGAATATTGAGAAGAGAGATGCCCCTATAATTATTACAAACTATGCCGGCCCCTCTTACAGAAGACATCTTAAAAAGGAGGGACCAGTAAGGCATCCTTCTAATCCTGCGGAACCTGTGCTGTGGTCCAAACATTTGTGATGATGTCACGGGCAATCTGCACACAGATGCCACCATCCCTCAGCATTTTGTTTTGGAGATCGTCTCGGCCCGGCGCTTTTCCTGGTCTAAGACTTAAGATTGCCCCTCGCATTTTCTCCACAGATGACACCTCAGTGAACCATTCAGAAGGGGTGGCAACTTCTGCCAGTATTTGAGGCACCGCAGCCCTACCAGGTTCATCCCCACCTTGCCCCATGATGTAGTCTGGCCTAAAGGAATTGCCCACCCCTAAGAACTCACAAAAATGCTCTGCAAACCTGCAGACCTGTTCCTGGGGGTCGGATATCGGATTACTGTTCTTTCCCTTAAGGATAGTGATAGGTGAGGTACTGCAAGCTACTTTGTTGATTAAATTAAATAGTGATTTGTGATTTTGCGCTACTGAGGCAGAGTTCATCTCTTCAGCAGCCCGTGCCCACCTCTCATCCTTGCAATGCTGCACGGCTCTCCAAATCTCCGAGCGAAGGCTGCAGTAAGCCTTCTCATTCTCCGATTTTGGATGTTGTAGATGACTGGAGTGGGCTTGTCGCTTTCTCTTAACCAACTGGAACACCTCCTCCTTCAGCTGGGGTCTCTGGGGAGGTCTGGACCACATACCCAATGCAGTCTTTGCAGTTGCGTGAGCCACAGTCCTGAAACCCATTTTTCAACAGCATCAAGAGGGGGGATGATGCCAACCCCAGCTGCAAGCGATGTTAAAATTCCTGCTTGCAAATATCCGCTTCTAGCTGAGACTAGGCCATTGTGACTTTGAATGCGGTCCTAGATGGACCCCCACTACCGGAGTGTAAGAATGGCAGGAGCATCTTACAGATGACAAGTCGATGGTCAGTGGGCAGATCAGCTCCACAGTAATTCCTGGTGTCAAGGACATGGGCCCGCATCTGCTGGGCCGTAATTATATAATCCAGTAGATGTTCTTGTTTTGACCCGGCGTGCATCAATGATGTTGTGTGGATGCATCGATGCCGGAACAGTGTGTTCATAATTACAAGCCCATGGGCTGCACAGAAGTCGAGCAGCCATGGTTATTTAGCTGATCTGGCCCATGCCTTCTGATCACTCCAACCCAGGTATCTGCATCACGACCCACTTGGGCATTAAATAGTAATCTTGAACTCGCCCTCGGTAATCGGCGCCTTCTTCAAAACGCTTGTACACCGCGTCACAGTTAAAAAAAATTGGCCTGCATAGGGTGGCAGAGGGCTGTTAACGACAAAAATTTGGTCAGATCATGTGACCTAACTTTGAAATCCATTGTCGATCACGGCATTGGCCTAGAAAACCTACTCCGTGTCAAGTCGCTGCATTAAATAGATGCCAGACACCGCTGAGTGAACTGCACAGTTAAGAGCTCTGAGTTGTCTAAGCGAGAAATGGCCATGCTTAGCGTTTCTGTAGATGACCCTTGACTGTTTGGAGGGTTGGCCAGCTCAAACCCCACGAGTGTCTTAACAGTCGCACGTGGATCTCCGCGTGACAGGGTGATGGTGACGTCCACCAAGGTGGACATTTTTCCGGTGGACCTGATGTTGTTCACAAACTACAAACATCCTGAAGCAGAGAAGCACGGAGACTCCCCCGGTCTTCCAGGTGACGCATCCCATCAGTCGCACTGCCTATTGGGAGTGCACATATGCATTTTTAGCAGCAGTTGGGTTTCAACATTTTAGTGTCTCATCAGCAAACTCTGGCCAGTAGAGCGGCGTGAGGGGTAGGCAGAACCTTCACCGGAAGAGGCTCCCTAAAACTTGTGCTGTTTTGATTTGGTTTTTCTCATCATACACGCAGATCTCATCGACTATCGCATGTCGGACCTTCCTGCGTGGCAGGCGGCCACGTGGACCAGCTCGGCGCCATTCTTATTCTCGCCGATCTATGACCTGGTGGATGGGGGCCTCCTGGCCAATAACCCCACCATGACCATGCTGGCGGAGATCTACTACCACAGCAGAGGCTTGAAGTCCAAGGCAAGGCCTAAAACTAAACTGTTTTATTTTACCAAGTAAAGTCTCACTGAGCTACTGGCTATTTTTAAGAAGTGACTTGGCCACAAATGATAGCTCAACGAAGTGGCTTATTATCACAGCCAAATACTCTCAACTCATGTTTCTAAATGTGGAGGGAAAGACTGGAGGACCCAGAGAAAACTCCATGCAATCATGAGGAGAACGTGCAAACTCTCCATTACAGATGTCATGGTCGGGATCGAACCCACTCCCTCCTGTATACCAGGCAAGGTAATTAACATCTCTCCACCGTGGCACCCACGTTATAATGCGGTGCTGCATTTGCGACCAGTTGTTTTCCCTGTGATGTTCCAGGAGCCAGGTCTGGACGAACCCTCACTGAAGGTGGTGTTGTCCCTCGGCACTGGCAAAAAGCCCCGAAAGGAGGTCGGGTCCCCGTTTCCAGACTGCAAATGTGAATTGATGTTTTCAAAGCAACGAAACAAAATGCTTCATTGCATCACCTCCAGTGTAAGTATAACCCTGAGCAGGTCACACAATACACTGCACTGCCGACGGGCGAGTTGTGATGTGCGGCAAGGTGCATTCACCCTTTTCCGTTACGAGACATCTGCAAGTTGCAGTGTCTCCTTCCTTTGGGGTGGGGAGGGGGATCCTCGCCATGCCCCCTTAACCCACTGGCCATCTCCATTCCTACCCCTGACATCCCCTACAAGTACTTACAGTCGACTCGGTTCTACATGTTGGTATACACGAGTCGACTTTGAGGTCCTTTAAAACGAATGTGAATGCAATCAGGCAAAGTGTTGCAGCTATAGCGCTCCCCCGGTGTTACAATGATAACAACTGTGGTGTTGTTATCAAACACCTGCATCTCCTGCATCTCCCAAGGAGTCATCCTCCTGAATGTCTCACCATCGTCACCTCCATCGTCGTGAAATCATCATCGTCAAAGTTAACTAAAAACACATTTAATCTTGAATTAAAGCCATGTAGACAGAAAAAAATAACAAAAAATATCGATGTTTCGATCGGAACACAAGCGGTCATCACTAGTGATGATTATCTGAACCGGTCTTGGACATCCCCGAGGTCAACTTGGCCTCAAATGAGTACCTGGTGCGGTGTGTAAACATCGCTACTGGGAAGACAAAGGCGGACGGGCGTGGTGCTGGCCACCCACTCCCTCGTGTGCCCTGCCGGCCTTCAAAGGTGCGACCCGCTAACAGCACTTGCCCCAACTTTCTGTTAAGGCTATATGGGGGGGGGGGGTTGTCTTTGTCTATAGCTGACCTTCACCGAAGCACATCACCTGAAGGCCGCTGCGGCGTGGTGCCAGACCGTCAACGTGCCTTACTTCAGGTGAGATTCTCGTTGAGCTAATGTGGACAATAACACGTAAGACAAATCACGCACACGCATGGCAGCGGCGCAGTGGTGACAACGCTCGCGCCTCGCAATGAAAAGGGGCCTGGGTTCGACTCTGGGAGCAATTTTGCGTGATTTCTGGATAAGCTTCCCGAGTGTTTTCCACTTTCCTCCCCACAGCTAGAAAAAAATAACACACATCCCAATGCTGAAAATGTACATGCAAATACAGCAGACAAATACAAATACAGTAGACGCTCGATTATCCGCGCTAATGACGGGGAGGGCAGCTGCGGATAAGTAAAAATCGCGTATAATCCAAACATATAACTATTTTCCGTGGATCTCTATGCCAAAAACACTAATATTGGTATGAATGATGTTTAAGTTTCTCTGTCATCGCCCGGTTTTGTAAGTGAAAACTGAAAAAATAAATGATCAGATGAATCACTCAAAATTCAGCACAACTGACGATTTCGATTGTTACTCTTTCAACGAATACTAACGATTAACTGATCGATGCGTGCGCTCGGTGATGGCACTTTCCTGCTCCCGCGCGGAAGACTCGACCCACTATGACACTATGTGGATAGCAGAGCCACGCCAATCAAAATCATTGAAACTTCGCCTACCGTTGTAAAGATATGCAACTACTGTACTGTAGGGGTGATGACGTGGATTTCGGATTAACTGGAGCACATATTTGCTCGCTTTAAGCACATGACTTGTAATGGACATTTTCAAGAAAAATAATGTATAACTGTTTTAAGATGATTAATTTGGGCTTAAGGGAAAATCCACGAGTTATTAATTTATGTCAAATATCAGGTGCGAGGTTAATCCTCAAAATCGGATAAACCGCACGCGGATAACCAAGAGTCGACTGTAACTCAATTGGAGTTATACACAGCGGCAATGTAGGCTCCTCCACTGCAACAACTTGACACCCTCAGGAAGAAAAGTCTTGAGACTCGGGCATTGCTGGGTCAACGAGCGCACTGAGAATAAATGTTTGCATTAAGAATGGCAACCGGCGGCCACTGCGGTTTTAGATGAGAGTGGGTCTGGCTTGTTTTCTGGTAGTAACCTCCTGGTTACACCAACCCACAGGGGATTATTCTGTCCGTCCGTCCGTCGTGCATCCAAAAATGGGAGGGGTGGGGCTGGGTGGAGAGGGGAGGATGGGGAGGGGCTGGGTGGGGAGGGTGGGGAGGGGCTGGGTGGGGAGGGTTGGGCTGGGTGGGGAGGGGCTGGGTGGGGAGGGTGGGGCTGGGTGGGGGGTGGGAGGGGTGGGGCTGGGTGGAGAGGGGAGGGTGGGGAGGGGCTGGGTGGGGAGGGTGGGGAGCGGCTGGGTGGGGAGGGGAGGGGCTGGGTGGGGAAGGTGGGGCTGGGAGGGGCTGGGTGGGGGTGGGAGGGGTGGGGCTGGGTGTGGAGGGGCTGGTCACCCCGTGGTGCCCTTATAAACCTCAACGTTTTAAAACTCAAGATTTAACCTACTCACGCCCGCTTGTGCTCGCCCTCACAGTCGGGCATATTTGCGGAATACACCACGCCGCCATTGACCCTGGCCATTGGCCGAGCAACCCAACGTTACTACCATTTCCCTCCGCAGGAATGTGTTTTAAGGCGGTGGTTCTCAAAGTGTGGTCCGTGGAACCAGCAGTGGTCTGCGAAAGGTCCTCCAGGTGGTCCGCGCGGCTGCGATGCAAACGCAGGTCGATCCGGAAATATTGGCAATGTTTACATCATTTGTTTTGGACATTACTATTTAGTAATATTTTATAAAACAATTAAGTTAGGTAAACTACCCTTATTAAAGCATTCTAACCCTAAGATCTGAATGCCCCCTCCCCCTAAAAAAAAACCCTTATAGCTGCGTTTATTTTGTTTTTGTATGTTCCGGTAATATGAATCATTTTGTATTACTGGTATTTAGATAGAGAAGTGAAATGCGGTTTGTCACCAGTGTTGGGGGGCTGGGTGGTGGTCCGCGGAAACGTTTGCATCGGCCGAGTGGCCCTCAGGCCAAGACAAGTTTGAGAAACACCGCTTGAAGGTGAACAGCGCCGCTATACTTGTTTGTGTTCCGTTGCAGGAAAAACCCCTGAGTTCGAAGACCTTGTCGAGATTGATGAGGCGGACGACACAAAGTTGCTGCAACTCATACAGGAAGTGGATGACTATATCCTCGGTGATTTGGATAACATGTCACACATCGCGAAGCTGTTGTCACCCGTCTAGGTCACTGGCGCTACTGCAGCCAACAACTGCCAGTAAGCTGGCGTAGTTGCAGGCTGCAGATGCCAGTAAGGCTGGCAACGTTCTCACCTTGCATCGTCCGCTGATGATAAACATCACGGCGTGAACCGACTGCATTTGACAGGCGCCTCCCAGTGCCAATAATGAGCTACGTTTAGCCACGATATTCACTGTTGCTTATGATTTAAGTCACACGGTCAATTTAATCACTTACATTGGGAGGCAGGTTGGTGTCGGCAGCGCAGTGGTGATGCTCGTGCCTCACAGCAAGATGGCTCCTGGGTTCGAGTCCCCACTTTGGGCGCCATTTTGTGTGTTCTCTCCCTCTGTTCTGCATGGGTTTCCCCACTGGGTGTTTTAGTTTCCTCCCATGGTTAAACAAAAATCCTCACAATGTAACTGGTATTTACCAAAACATTCCGATGCATCCCAATGCTGGATACGTGTTACATCTGTTTTCCGTCCTGCATTTGCTTTTCTGTTGCGATGGGATTTCTCATCATAATCACATATTTGAACTGCTAGATTTTGTACAGGCTAAAGGCCCTCTCTGTCAGATGGTTGTCCACAGTGCACCTTGCCAATTCCAATCACAAATTCCAGCGTGGCTTTGGCAGTTGGAAGGGGGCCGATGTTGCAATGTGTTATCTTGTTTGAGTAATGTACAGGTTATATAATCCGCACTGGGGATGTTTTGACGAATACCAGTTACATTGTTTTGATATGGCTGCCTTATGCGTGCACGTGCAACTATAGCCACTTATTCGGAGCTGAAAACACTCGATTCCTAAACACGGTGTAGGATGTCCTTAGAGGCTCAGTATGTGTTGCCTCTTAAATTTACAGTCTTCTGCTATCCTTACGTCATATAATACACTCCTGATGAGAAGAATCGTTAGATTCATAATTGATCATTTACATGTATTTGTAAGGGTCCTTCCATCGTCTCAAGGTGTGTAGGTATAACGCTAATTGTTCAGCTATACCCTCCACCACCTGACAAGTCACGTGGGCTTCCAATGGATTTGGGTTTTCGGCAAACCAGAGGCATGTTGAAAGGCATTGTAAGACGTTTCGCTGGCGATTGCACCCAGCGTCATCAGGGGTTAACAGCTCAGCTCTGGCGTGGAAGAACTCCGTGATCAGGGTCCTTAAGTAGGTTCTGTGATGTCAACAGCAAAGTCATGCACGCGATTCAATTGAATAATTGGAGTTAATTGCTGGTTTATCGGCTGTGTTTGGCTGGTCAGGGTAGTTCAATGAGGCAAATCTGTTTTAACGGTTGGTGATAATAGGCTGTCCGTGATGTGTGGGTAATCTATCTGGAGTTATGCTATTGTGATTCTAGCCAAGTGTTAGAATGCTCTTGCAGATACACCTCGTCGATTGGACTTTAACCATCTATGTGTGTGCTGCTGCAATTTATTAAATCGTTAAAGTTGATCATCTTAATTTTCACACACAGCGTCTTTACATAACCAACTGTTATTGGATGCTTCTCGTCATGATGAAATGCGCTTCTGTCTCATGTTGTGGTGGTGGTGGTGGTAATAATAATATACAAATCCATTTACAATTGAAGTTCAAGTTTATTGTGTTTGACCAGTTGAGAATTCAAGCAACTCATTTGCACGAGTGGGTGAATGAGTGGGTAAGTGAGTTGATTAGTTCGTGAGATGGTGGGTGAGTCAATTATTGTGTGAGGTTATAACAGAACAATTCAGACCCTAAATTTCGATTTAAAGCTTTCGTGACTGCAGGGATTCATTTTCTTGGTTCTTTCGGTAGAGTCACGTAGAAGGGAAATAATAAAATAATACAAATAAAACATAATAAAATCCAATTCTCACGACGTTTCGGCCACAACGCAAGCAGCCGTCCTCAGGTGAAGAACAGGGCTGTCGGAAAGACAGCGTCCGACTTTACCGTAAGAACCAATAAGAGAAATTCAGACCCTATTGGTCACCCCGTGCTCCTTATAAATCTCAACGTTCATCCTTGCAAAGTTCCATCACAATGGAGAAACACAAACAAATTGACAATGTTTTTGCCCGTATTGAAACGGCTGTTCGCCGTATGGGCCAGAGAACTCGATTTCCCCTCTACAAGAACACGGGTACACCGTATGTGTTGACACGGTATGTCATTGCCCTCCCTTAAACCACAATAACCACGACTAAAAACGGACCTGGCTCTCCGTGGCAATTAGCAGAGCGGCACAATTAGACCGTGTGATGCATTGCAGATGAGCTCACACCGGACCCACACCTGCAGCGTAAATCGGCTCGGGTGAGATCAGCTCCAAATGTATCGCAACACCTGTCAACCCATACGGTTTACCCCGCATTATTGCGCAGGAAATAGAGTTACGGCGTTTCAATGAGGAAACATTTTTAAATCCTTTATATTAAGTTCACTTGCTTGCTTGCTTGCGCGCTTACGACCGGGCAAATCTTTCGGTCGTTTTTTAACCCACTTCCCGTGATCCAATCGAGCTGACATTTTGCACACAGACTCGTTGTGCGTGACAATTTATTTTCGTGAAATTTTTTTTCTCCAAAATTTTACACTTTTTAGGATTTTTTAAAATATATTTAATTACCAATTGCTTAATGGTGGCAGGCAATCATCTGACCCATAGGTGGCAGCCATCTCAAGCCAGAGGACGAGAGGACTCTAGCCGCCACGCATATAAAGGATTTATAGTGAAAATTTTTGTTTTTACGGGTTCATTTTTTTTGTCAATGTGTTTTTTTTTCTCCATTGTGATGGCACTTTGCAAGGATGAACGTTGAGATGTATAAGGAGCACGGGGTGACCAATAAGGTCGGAATTGATCTGTAATGAGGGGTTTGTCTGTGATAAGGGGTTGACAGGTATGTAGTAGTGTCGTGTATAGTAGTGTATAGTGTAGTGTATAGTATCAACACATTAGTCAATAACACTGCCTTAAAAGAAAATAGAGTACACCACCATACGGTGTTGTTAGTGAACGTGTTAAGTTTTTTGTGTGCGACACGGCACTATCTCACAAACGGCACTGTGTGTGTGTGACACACTCGGTACTGTGACACACACACACACTCAGTGTGACACACACACACACTCAGTGTGACACACACACACACACGGCACTGTGTGTGTGACAAACTCGGCATTGTGACACCCACACGCTGTGACACAGACACACACACTGTATATGTGACACACACACGGTACTGTGTGACACACACACACACTGTGACACACACTGTGTGACACACACACACTGTGACACACACACAGTGTGTATGTGACACACACACTGTGTGACACACACACACACTGTGACACACACACAGTGTGTATGTGACACACACACTGTGTGACACACACACGGCACTGTGTGTGTGTGACACACTCGGCACTGTGACACCCACACACTGTGACACACATACACACTGTGACACACACACAGCGTGTGTCACACACACACACTGTGACACACACTGTGTGACACACACACACTGTGACACACACACAGTGTGTATGTGACACACACACTGTGTGACACACACACACGGCACTGTGTGTGTGTGACACACTCGGCACTGACACCCACACACTGTGACACACATACACACTGTGTGACACACACACAGCGTGTGTCACACACACACACTGTGACACACACTGTGTGACACACACACACCGTGACACACACACAGTGTGTATGTGACACATACACTGTGTGACACACACACACGGCACTGTGTGTGTGTGACACACTCGGCACTGACACCCACACACTGTGACACACACACTGTGTGACACACACACAGCGTGTGTCACACACACACACTGTGACACACACTGTGTGACACACACACACCGTGACACACACACAGTGTGTATGTGACACACACACTGTGTGACACACACACACGGCACTGTGTGTGTGTGACACACTCGGCACTGACACCCACACACTGTGACACACACACTGTGTGACACACACACAGCGTGTGTCACACACACACACTGTGACACACACTGTGTGACACACACACACCGTGACACACACACAGTGTGTATGTGACACACACACTGTGTGACACACACACACGGCACTGTGTGTGTGTGACACACTCGGCACTGACACCCACACACTGTGACACACATACACACTGTGTGACACATACACACTCTGTGTGACACACATACACACTGTGTGACACACACACACGGCACTGTGTGTGTGTGACACACTCGGCACTGACACCCACACACTGTGACACACACACACAGCGTGTGACACACACACACACTGTGTGACACACACACACACTGTGTGACACACATACACACTGTGTGACACACACACACACACTGTGTGACACACACACACTGTGTGACACACATACACACTGTGTGACACACACACACACACTGTGTGACACACATACACACTGTGTGACACACATACACACTGTGTGACACACACACACACACTGTGTGACACACACACACTGTGTGACACACACACTGTGTGACACACATACACACTGTGTGACACACATACACACTGTGTGACACACACACACACACTGTGTGACACACACACACACACTGTGTGACACACACACACACGCCACTGCGTCCCTTCGTTGCCCCCCCTCGTGTTTCGTCACGCCGCGGTCACGTGACCGGCACGCCCCCCGCGGGGGTCACGTGACGCTGCCGCGCCGGGAGGAAGCGGGCAGCAGCTACAGGAATGGAGGCGCTCGTTCGCGTCACCTCCTTCAGGCAGGAGGGCGCGGACGCGGAGAGGGCAGCCTCCTCGTCGTCGTCCCCCTACACGGTGAGGCGAGCAGCAGCAGCAGCGGCTGGAGGAGGAGGAGGGAAGAGAGAGCGGAGAGACGGAGGCCTTAGAGGAGCAGGCCTCACCCGCCCGCCCGCCCCGCACAGGCCCAGGGCTCGGGGAGGGAGGTCCCCTGGGGTTTCACGCATGGCGCAATGTGTGATCACGCCGGGGGTGCGGTCAGGTTGTGGTGGTGTGTTCAAGTCGTGGTGTGGTCAGGTCATGGTGTGGTCACGTGGTGGTGTGTTCAGGTCATGGTGTGTTCAGGTCATGGTGTGTTCAGGTCATGGTGTGTTCAGGTCATGGTGTGTTCAGGTCATGGTGTGGTCACGTGGTGTGTTCAGGTCTTGGTGTGTTCAGGTGGTGGAGTCGTCACGTGGTGTGTTCAGGTGGTGGTGTTTGTTCAGGTCGTGGTGTGTTCAGGTGGTGGTGTGGTCACGTGGTGGGGTGTTCAGGTCGTGGTGTGGTCACGTGGTGGTGTGTTCAGGTCGTGGTGTGGTCACGTGGTGGTGTGTTCAGGTCGTGGTGTGGTCACGTGGTGGGGTGTTCAGGTAGTGGTGCGGTCACGTGGTGGGGTGTTCAGGTAGTGATGCGGTCACGTGGTGGTGGTCTGTTCAGGTGGTGGTGTGTTCACGTGGTGTGTTCAGGTGGTGGTGTGTTCACGTGGTGGTGTTGTCACGTGATGGTGTGTTCAGGTGGTGGTGTGGTCACGTGGTGGTGTGTTCAGGTAGTGGGGTGGTCACGTGGTGGGGTGTTCAGGTGGTGGTTTTTTCAGGTCGTGGTGTGGAGAAGGTCGGGACGTGGTGTCTGGTCAAAACGTGGTGTGTGTGGTCGAGGCGTGGTGTAGTCGGGTTGTAGTGTGGACAAGTTGCCATGGTCGGGATATGGTGTCGTCGGGATGTGGTGTAGTCTGGTTGTAGTGTGGTCGGAACGTGGGGTGCTCAGGTTGTGATGTGGTCAGGTTGTTGTGGTTGGAGGATACGTGGTGTGATTGCGCTTGCTGTGGTCACATTGTGGTGTGATTGCGTTTGGGGTGGTCACATTGTGGTGTGATTGCGTTTGGGGTGGTCACATTGTGTGTGTGATTGCGCTTGCTGTGGTCACATTGTGGTGTGATTGCGCTTACTTTGGTCAAATAGTTTTTTGGTCGGGGCGTGGTGTGGCAGATTTATGGTGTGGACAGATTGTGGGGTGTTTGAAAAAGCTTGGGTGTGGTCAGATTTGTGTGATGATGGTGGGGATGTGGCCCGGTATTGAGCGATATTCCTTGCACGTCTGACATGTCAACTATCTTTTAATTTTTTTTAGCAGGTAAGCCCATTGAGCTATATACTGTCGAACTTTCAGAGCCGACCTGGCCACAAATGATGGCGCGATGAAGTGGTTTATCAGATGGAAATGTATAGCAGCCAAATACACTAAAGACGCGTGTTTATAAATGTGGAGGGACAGACTGGAGTAATTTGGAGATAACACCACGTGACCTCAGGGAACACATGCAAACTCCAAATATACAGGCGTCGGGGTTGGGATCGAACCCACGACCTCAAACCCACGACCTCGAGGTAGTTAACATCTCTCCACTGCGGTGCCCCTTGGATGCCTTCAGAATCAACGTACGCTAATAGTATTTGGCTGCTGTAAGTTTCCACATGATAAGCCACTTTGTTGAGCTATCATTTGTGGCCAGGTCGCTTCTGAAATGAGCTATCTGTACGTTATAGCTCAGCCTTACCTGGTAAAATAAAAATAGTTCAAATAGTTTTGTCCGGGCACTGGTTCTGAGATCCACAAATGTGTTGCAGTTTCATGAAATTTCCTCGACTGTATAAAACATTACAGTTCCTGTTCATGTCGGTATATACTGTAATTCAATAAGGACTGTCAGTTTAACTACAAAACGGACCTCTGTTATGCTGTGCAAATAGTGCATCGACGCTAATTGGTCATCCAATAATCGGTGACAAGTTGTGTCTCACAGCCGGACTGGGTGAACGAAGAGGCTCTTGCTCCGGTGATATTTAAATCACGTACACGTAATTCTTTGCTGGGCTGACACTGCCAAACTGACTACATGTGTGAGTTAGCATGCGGTGTTGGGTGGCCGACCAGGGATCGAACCCCGGACCTCAGACGTGTGCCGGTTTCTGACTCACGACGGGGTTACTCCAACGTGATTCGTGACTCGCTGCCCGCTCCGAGCCTGGATGGGCCCGTCGCTGACGGCGCGCGCGCGCTTCGCAGGTCTTCAAGGTGGAGGTGACCATGAACGGCAGGAAGCACTTTCTGGAGAAGCGCTACAGCGAGTTCCACGCACTGCACAAGCAGGCAAGGCTCCCTCCTCCTCGCTGTGAGAACCGCCACGCTCTCTCCAGCCTCCACACGGGGACCCCCGCGTTTGCGCAACTGAGATACATTCACTCCGAGACACTCGCCCGTCGTCCCCCAGTAGTGAGCGCCACGGCTCGACGGACGCATAACTAGTGTGGAGCCGATCTACGGTCTGGGTTTCCATTGTACGAGTAACGCACATGCAGGCACACAAATGTGATCCCGGTTTTTGGGACTCCTGAACTCAACTGGGTACAGGCTGTGAGCACGTGTGCCATGGCTGAACCTGCTGTTGTAGAGTTTTCTCCGCAGATTGCATCCAGCTAAGGCTGGTGGGGGCGTCTCGAGGAACATGTGACCCCAACAAGTTCTTCCTGTGCTTCCCCACCCCCCCCCCGCCTTTTTCCGTCAGCTCAAGAAAGTAATTAAAACCCCTGAGTTCCCACCGAAGCACGTGAGGAATTGGGTTCCTAAAGTCTTGGAGCAGAGGCGGCAAGGGCTGGAGTATTACCTGCAGGTAGGCAGCGACGGCACGGGCTGCACAGTGTGGTGCGTGCCCGCCACACGCACCCCCGCCCGCCGCATGCACATCCGCCCACCTGTCCACCCGCTCACCTGCCTGCCGGCCCACTCGCCAGTCCACCCCACTCACCGAGGGCGTGTGCGCCCTTTTAACACGATTGCCGGTTTTTCCTCCAAGGGAATCCTGTACGAGAACGAAGAGCTGCCCAAGGTCTTACTGGAGTTTCTCAGCATCCGGCACCTGCCCTCGATTCATAAGGCCGATAGCTACGAGTATGTTCAGAGCGCTGCGCACACGCCCACAGATGCACCGCAGCCAGTGGCATTGTCACGATATTTTCAGCTCAGGGTGTGTGGCAATCGGTCAGGTGGGGCCCCCAATATTTGATTTTGTCTCTTCGCACAGTCGCACCTCGGCTATATATTGTGGCTCCTCTTGCCAAATCACATAATTACATGCTTTTTAGTTTTTTACACTGTTGTTGAAAATATATCTCCATGTTTTTTTTGGGTTAGATCGCGTGAATATAAATTTGTCGTTAAACCCGTCACCACCCGACACAGCCAATTAGTGATGTTTGTCACGTAAACAAAACGTGCCAATTCGTTACTAGCTCAGTACCCCGGTGTGTTGGAGAGTAAACCCACAACATTTACAATTCGAGTACAACGTTTTGGCAGTAATTACAACCAGCATCGTCAAGCGACAGCCAAAGTTGTGGAGAAAGCCTCCTCCTGTTTCGGTCTTAAATCCTCTTGTTTCATTCTTAAAAGGTGGTGGCGGGTTTAACGACACGTTTTTATTTACGCGATTTAACCCAAAACAATATCTTGTGGATAATATTAGTCGTGAAAGTCTACGTGTTAAAATATCTCACGCTGGTTGTCAAGGGGGCCCCAGATCATAGCTTTGGCCACCAGGGGGGGCGCCAAGGTATCCCCTGCCTGCCCCACTCTCGCTACGCGACTGACCCGAGCCCAGACTCCTGTATGTGCGATTCCAATTGAGTGATTTTCAGGTCATTTTCGCAGGATTGGGGATGTTTTGGCCACTATACCACTTACAGTGTGTCATTAGAGGTCGCAAACGGGTTTTGATTCCTTACCCGTACCCATACCCGGCTGCACCAGGGTCGCAAACAGGTACCCGTACCCTACCCGATACCCGGCTACCCGTACCCGGCCGGGTATCGGGTAGGGTACGTGTATCGGGTACCCGATTGCGACCTCTGCAGTGTGTGTGTCTGGTTTTAACCCCTTTCGGAGGAAACAGGAAAACCCAGAGGAATCCCATGCAGAACAGGGGCAGAACATGCAAATGCCCACACACAAAGGGTGGCCAAATTGGGAATCGAACCCAGGCTCCTTCTTGCTGTGAGGCGCGAGTGTCGCCTCTGTGCTGCCGCCCTTCTGCCCGTTTTCCCATTCCCACCCTGTTCTGCTTACTGGAACGAATGGAGCAGTCTACACCAAAAGTTGAACACCACCCATTGTCTGCCTTAGAAAGATAGCTACAAAAAATTTTTTGTCTTAGATAACAAAAAAAACAGCCATGTTCTCTCCACTGCTACATAAAGGCCTCCCTATGTTTGTCTACATCGGTGCCAATAAGCGGTGAGTTTGACGGAGTTTTTTTTTCTTTTCAGCTCCTTGGACGATCTCGATTCAGAAGAGCCGAGGTGAGACCGGAGTGTTAATAGCGATAATTCCAAACGGGTTACGGAGTGATCCCACTTAGCGAGGCATTGCTGCGTGACAATTGCCACGGTAGATCGTCGGCAAGTGGCAGTGGGCATTAAGACCCACTCGGTGTCGCCCTTCACTTATAGCCGAGCGGCAGGATTGGCGGCAGTGATGACACTGATCTCGCGCGCTTTTCTGCGTCTTTGGCGTTTGTGTGTTTTCCTCCCGGGTTTTCTGGTTTCCTCTGAAAGCTAAAAATAAAATCACAAACTGCAACTGGTATTGGCCAAACATCCCCAATGCTGAACACTTACTTGAAAGTTAATCAATTGTGATCGCACATGGCAGCAGCGTCGCTTCGCTCCTGTTAAAAACGTGGCAGGACCCTCTCTGAAAAGGAGTCTTGAGACTCAATGAGGCTTTTCTGGGTAAACAAGAGTAAATAAAACAATAAAACGGGTGACTGGCCGAAGGCACAGAAGTGGGCGGCGCAACTATTGATCATTTCCCCCGTCGGTGCAGAGGGTTTGTCCACACCTTAAGAATCAAATTTGCAAATCACATTTGCAAAATGTGGCTGTATCCAGCACTAAAGCATTGGTTACCCCAGCTTGTAATGTACTACTGGGACGGAATGCTTGCAATGTTCTTCTGCTAAAGACTCAATGCGTGAAAATCTCCCGGTCGAAAACCTACCCATCTGGCACCCAATGAGCGCGGCTTAGAGATGCTTGCGTTGTGGCCGCATGCCGTGCGAAGTGGAGGCCCACAGGCCGACGAGGGTTTCCCCACTTGTGCCTTACGCCGCCGCGACGTAGCGCGGTGCGACGCGTGAAGCTGGGTCGCGGTGACGACGCGGTTGCCTGCCGTGGCCGTGTTCCCCCACAGCAGGCTCTGCCACCAGCCGGTGCTGGCCTACTCCCGGGATCCGTACGTGCTGCCGGCCATGTCGGGTGAGCACCTCACTCGCCCTGACCCGCACTCCTCACCTCCTGCTCCTAACCTCCCGCTCCTCACCAAACGCGCCACACCCGACACTCCTCACCACCCACTCCACACCCAACGCGCCACACTCGGCGCTTCTCACCCGACACCCGACACGCCACACGCACCTCACCACCCACTTGTCACCCTCGCACTCCTCACCTCCCGCTCCTAACCTCCCGCTCCTCACCAAACGCGCCACACCCGACACTCCTCATCACCCACTCCACACCCAACGCGCCACAATCGACGCTTCTCACCCGACACCCGACACGCCACACGCACCTCACCTCCCACTCGTCACCCTCCCACTCATCACCTCCTGCTCCTCACCTCCCGCTCCTCAAACGCGCCACACCCGACACTCCTCACCACCCACTCCACACCCAACGTGCCACACTTGGCGCTTCTCACCCGACACACGACATGCCACACGCACCTCACCACCCACTCGTCACCCTCCCACTCTTCACCTCCCACCCACCATTACGCGGTCCTCCATGTTGCACGGCCCCCTCCAGAGGCGCTCCACGGCCCGCGTCTCTCCGCAGTGACACGCGTTGGTGTCCTCCGAGTAGCCCTGCTGCTGCTCTATTTAAGACCAGGAGCCAGAGCAGAGCCTCACCATTCTGGCGAATTGCCCGATGATGCTGGATGCAATTACCAGCGAAACGTCGTACTCAGAAAAATAAAATAAAATTGTAAATGTTGTGGTTTCACGCTTCAACACACCGGTGGGCTAAAGCAGTGAACTATTTGTATTTGTCAACGTGACACTTTTTTGCTGATTGGCCGTGTCGGGTGGTGGAGGGTTACGACACATTTATAAATAACGCGATCTAAACCCAAAAACGTTGATTATGAATAGCCCTGCATGTTGACCTTTCGCCTGCCTGCTCCAGTTCGGAGGCAGTTTCAATGTATCCACGACCCGTTCTCTGCGCCGGTGGCGAGGTTCTTCTCCGCGACATCGATGGGCGTTTGTGACCCCCCTTGGTTATTGCGGCGAGCAGTGTCCGCCACTTTTCTGCTCGTGTAGTGCTGTCGGTGATTTTAAGCAGCTCCGTTGCAGCCAGGAAGCTTTTCCGTGTATTCGGGTGGCGATACGCCGTGATCGTATCTCTGTGACCGCTTGCCGTATCTGCACGGCGTGACCGCTCTCCAAGACCAGTCGCCTTGACCGTTCGCCTTGACCACTCGCCGTTCACCGCCTGCTGTTGGCCACCTGCCGTCAAATCTGCTCACTGTTGACAGCACCAATGGTGATGCCTTTTCCCACCACAGAGGGCCTCCCCAACATCGTGGTGGACGGTGTTCTGCAGGGCCTGTCCCTGCCGCCCATACAGCAGAGGTGATGGTGACCCCGCGACCCAGCTTCTCATCAGCAAGCGCCTCTTGCCTCTCAATCCGACACTGGAGCGCTTGCGTGTCTGCACCGTCACTCACTCGCCACTCCCTCTGGGCAAGTGAGCGAGCGCGTGCATTGACCCTGTGATCTGCATCACGTAATGTTTGTAACGGCAGCTATAGTACGGGCGGGGTGGGGTTGTTTGTTTTTATTTCAACCTTGTATCCACATACGGCATATCATTTACACAGCATTAATATATTACGGAATAGACGTGTGTACCGTAGATTTTTAAAAAGAACAATTGAAAGTTAAACATATTATGAGACCTTGTTGATAGTCTTACTTGAAGCATTTAATGGAGATTAAAGCGAGCTTTGAAATCATAAGTACATAGCAAGTGCTGCATGAAGGACACTTTAAAAGTAAACTTGGCATTAACATACAGTTATAGTAATCATCGTAATGCGTGTGTGCTGTTGCATAGGTGTGACAATCACAGGGATGGCTGCGCTGCTTGGCTTAGGATTACAGTAAGTCCTCGTTTAACACGTTAGATGCAGTTCTGAAAACTGCCGCGATAAGCGGAATACGCGTGAAGATAATTTTTTTCATCATAAATAAAGTAGTAACAATAAAGTTTGGCGAGATATACGATGTACTACGGACGCCCGGTGAGATGGCGGCACAAATAGCTTGAGGGCTGTGCGCCGCCGCGTTACTGTATCGTTCCGCTTAGTGTATTCCTCCGCTCAGCCGCGCAGCTCAAGAAAGTAGTTCATCGTTGAGCGTGTTACAAAACAAATACGTTCCTTCGGAGTGGGCAGATAGGAACTTGGTTGGACAGCGCATTCGTGCGATCCGTGTCACGCGGCGCGTCACGTGGTGCGGAGCCCGCCCGAAGCGCTCTATGAAATACAAAACGGTGGGCGTGGCTATGCACGACAGACAGACAAATAATCCCTGGTGGGCATTGTGGAACTGTTGTTCCTACCTGTAAAAAGGCATTGCCTAATGAAAGGAGCTGCGTTGTAGCGAAAAAGCAGTGTGCGCGCAAACGTTAAGCGAGGGCTTGGCGTACGTTCCTGTCCCCTATCCAAACGTAAACCCATCAAAACGACACGGCGAAGCAGACGAATCGGTGCTGGAGTCGTGTTTCCGGCGCTGCGTTTGCGGCAGATGGAAAAAATTCGTCGGTGGGAACACACAGAGAGACCAATTCCAGTTTTGTGGCAGTATTTTCTGCATGGCTGTGGCCTTCTGATGATTGATAGTCGTAGTGAAATCTGCACTCTCTTGCCACGGAGGAGGACATAGAGGGATTGTACTGCGCTGATGATCACTAATGTCGGGCGAAACCCAGTACGCGATAGGTCGTGTTGTATTTACCACCATGACATTTTAACAAGGCCGCACATTCTGGTGGCTGAGAACCCAACAAAAGGCTGCTAGGCAGCCTGATCCTCGTCAAGGGACATAAACAATCACGCAAACTACGGTCATCCTCGCAGTAGCGGTTTTTCGCAAACCATGGAACAAAGATGGTCACTGCATCGCGCGCTTTCAGATGCGCTTCTGTGGCCATTCGGAACGCTCTTCCGATATGAGGAAGACACTGGAGATATGCACTTTTAAAATCTCGTTAAAAACTAATTTCTTTAGAACTGATTTTTACGTTCAGTTTGCTGCCCTTCCCCCGCACCTCGGATTTGCACGGTTGGCTACGTACGGTGCGAAAGATGTTAAACATACATACGTATATGCACGCATACATACTCGCACCGGGCTGGCAAAGTGCACTGCGTTGTTGGTTTGCCCACAGCAGAGGTCGCAAACCGGTTTTGATTCCTTACCCGTACCCGGCCACACCAGGGTCGCAAACGGGTACCCGTACCCAGCCGTACCCGTACCCTACGGGTATCGGGAACCTGATTGCGACCTCTGGGATGAAGCCATGTTGCAGGCGCGGGTGGGTTGATTCTAGGAACTTGAATTGTGAGAAGAGACAAGACGTTGGGAAATGAGTGACAAACAGTTACTCACCAGTGACTCACGGTCTACCCGTACCCGGCCGCACCAGGGTCGCAAACGGGTACCCGTACCCAGCCGGGTGCCCGTACCCAGCCGGGTACGGGTAGCCGGGTATCGGGTAGGGTACGGGTATCGGGTACCCGGTTGCGACCTCTGGCCCACAGCGAGTGACGGGGGTGCCAATGGTGCTGTAGCGGCGCGGAGTTGGACGTGACATCCCCTCTGCCGCCTGCAGTTTTGTCCAAAAACGACGTGTCGTCTGCGACGGCTCCGAAAAAGTTAAACTGTTACCTGCATGCTTTATTGATGTTTATACTTTATTAACAATGTACATTTATGTCAACTCGAGGGCTCCTCTTGTTTTTCAAAACGACCCATCGAGCTGTTTTTGGTGTCGACTGTTGGTGATGCTTACTACTGACTTTGCTGCTGACTGTGCTTGGAACAGTGTGCCAGTGAGTGAGGCAATGGTCACTTACCCAAGTGGAGCACACGCGCCAACGCGTTTCAACTCGCCACGTCTCGCAGGATTTCGCCGGGCTACAGAGTGAACATTGAATTTACTCGATAGGTCAACACTACGGGCCGAGATTTGCACCTTAATGGGACAAGGATCACTGTGGCCTGGCTAGGGTGCCGTGTTGGGACAGGTGGAAGGTGGTGGTGTGCGTTGTAGGGAAGCAGCTGGAAGGCTGCGGAAGGATTCGGGTGTCGATTGCTGTCCGACACGGGCTCGGGGAGACTTCTCATCGTCGCCCGCAAGCTCGCTGCTGTTAACACTACCGCATGTTTGTGAACGTGAGAGACTGCTGCCCTTGACACCGTTTGGAAGCGAGCAATATTGCTTGTGCTGTCATACGCAGAGCTAAACGAGGGTCGGTGTCTTCATGGACACTCGGCGGTTCCAAATGAGGTCAACGGCGTCTAACTAAATTTTCCCACTGCGAATGAAAATCTAAATTACGTTCACGGAAGCTGGGCCATGCATTGGCCCGGGATAAATCAAACTAAACTAGAAGAATTACAGCTGACACTAACGTCGCGAAGTATGCTCCCTCCTCCTCCCTCCTCCTCCCTCCCTCCTCCTCCCTCCCCCCTCCCCCCTCCTCCTTACCCCCTCTTCCTCCCTCCCCCCTCCTCCCTCCGCCCCCTCCTCCCCCCTCCTCCCTCCCCCTCCTCCTTACCCCCTCCTCCCTCCCCCTCTTCCTCCCCCCTCCTCCTCCCTCCCCTCCTTACCCCCTCTTCCTCCCCCCTCCTCCCTCCTTACCCCTCTTCCTCCCTCCCCCCTCCTCCTCCCTCCCCTCCTCCTTACCCTCTCTCCCTCCCCCCTCCTCCTCCTCCCCCCTCCTCTCTCCCCCCTCCTCCCTCCCTCCTGCCCCCTCCTCCCTTCCATTGCGTGCCGATTGGCCCATTGTGCAGCTGAGAATACCAATGGGACAGCATTGGCCCGAAAGGGTCCTGTTGTTGGTCAAGTTGTTCACCTTTTAATTTCAGAAAATACAATTTTAACTTTGCGTTGTATTGAACGCCTTTATAGGAATATCGATGTAATGACACATTGTAGGATAGACGTGATTGTCTTGTTTTCTGCCCGTTCATACACGATGCGTATTATTTGATGCAACATACTATGCCCTCGAGTCACAGAGCACTGTTAAAAAGAGTCCTCGGAACTCACTGAATATATTATTTAAAACGAAAACGTCACGTGTCATAACACGCCTTCGTGTAAATGCAATAAAAGCAAAATGCTGTTATGACATTAAGAGTGTGCGCGTTCCTCCTCAACGCAGTCCGGTGTGCGCGTGTGGTCCGTTCAACCCACGACTCGTCAGTTGCTGCAGTTGCTGCTGCTGCAGTTGCTGCTGCTGCAGTTGCTGCTGCTGCAGTTGCTGCTGCTGCAGTTGCTGCTGCTGCAGTTGCTGCTGCTGCAGTTGCTGCTGCTGCAGTTGCTGCTGCTGCAGTTGCTGCTGCTGCAGTTGCTGCTGCTGCTGCAGTTGCTGCTGCTGCTGCTGCAGTTGCTGCTGCTGCAGTTGCTGCTGCTGCAGTGCTGCTGCTGCAGTTGCTGCTGCTGCAGTTGCTGCTGCTGCTGCAGTTGCTGCTGCTGCAGTTGCTGCTGCTGCAGTTGCTGCTGCTGCAGTTGCTGCTGCTGCAGTTGCTGCTGCTGCAGTTGCTGCTGCTGCAGTTGCTGCTGCTGCAGTTGCTGCTGCTGCAGTTGCTGCTGCAGTTGCTGCTGCTGCAGTTGCTGCTGCAGTTGCTGTTGCACCGTGCCCAGTGCAGTGCGTTCTCTCTGCGGTACCGCTTCCCAAACGCCAGTCGGCGCTACCCACCACCACCGTGCTCACACCTCTCCGCGTTCATCAACGAACTCCTCTCCCCCATTCAAATACAAATTAACTCGTTCCACGCTTCACTCGCCCGATGATTATTAAACACGTCCCACCTGCCGCGCTAAGCATTTCACTCTCCCCGCGTTAATACAGCAGATTCCATTTTTCATTGAGATGAGTGCGCGTGTGTCCCTAGGTCAACTCGACCTCAAATGTTTCAAGTTTTCAAGTTTCATGTATTAGGTATAGCCATGTGAGCCATTCGGCTCTTGAATCATGTGCAACCGCAACAAACAAAAAAAACTAAAACATGAACAAGAAAACATCTTAAAGTGACTGTGCAAACAGAAAATCCAAGAAAAGACAGCAAAATATTGCAGAAAAATCACCGTGTACACCAACACTGTTGACCAGAGGTCACAAACGGGTTTTGATTCCTTACCCATACCCGTACCCGGCCGCACCAGGGTCGCAAACGGGTACCCATACCCGGCCGGATACGGGTAGCCGGGTATCGGGTAGGGTACGGGTATCGGGTACCCGGTTGCGACCTCTGGATGCAAGTAAAACAACCACATGACAACTTAGATTAAGGCCATCAGTCTAACTCTGTACTACAACAAACAAACATGGCCAACCGAAAAACTTTTCAAAAATCACCAAAATAAAGCCATAAAAGCAATGAAACAGTTATCATAGGAACAAATGAGTACCTGGTGCGGTGTGTAAACATCACCACTGGGGAGACAAAGGCGGTCGGGACGTTGTGCTTGCCACCCATCCACATAGAAAACTAACCGTGTTGCTGACACAGGCAAAACCAATGTTAATGATTTTGCTCACCTGCCAATACTGGACATCTGTGAAAAATAACTTCATAGCTCATCTGGTTCTTCCAGTCTGACTAAAGTGTCTGATTTATTAGGCAATGCTCACGTCTGCACCCCCCCCCCCCCCCAGCTGCGCCCAGACTTCAAAATCATAACAGAAGATTGCTGTAACTTAATGTCTTAATCTCGCGTAATCCTGCCGCTTATGTAACCCTATGAACGTCGCACGCGTCACAGCGATGGTATGGTAGTTAGGTGTGTTGAAGCTCTTTCGCACCGTACGTAGCTAACCGTGATAATCGGAGGTGCGGGGGAAGGACAACACACCGTGTCAACCCACGCGGTTCACCCCGTTTTCTTGTGCAGGGAAATTTAGTTTTTAGGTCCATACGGCGGTACAGCCGTTAAAAAAAAAGTTATCCGTCTATTTGTTTGTGTTTCTCCCTTGTGATGGGACTTTGAATGGACGAACGTTGAGAGGTATAAGGGCACGGGATGACCAATACGGTCTGAGTTGGTCTCTAATAAGGAAGGGCACCACTAAGTGTCAAGGCAGAACACAATGGAGGATTGGGGTCCACCTGCAATAGGGGAAGCGGGTGATGAAAAGTAGATCACTGTTAGTGCGGCCGGCTAGGGACCCCCCCCCCCACCAACCCCACCAACCGCGCGGAGGGTTAAAGTTCAAGTTCATTTATTAGGTGTAGCCCTGTGAGCCATTCGGCTCTTGAATCGGGTGCAACCGCAACAAACAAAAAACATGAACAAAAAAACATCTTAAAGTGAATATGTGATTAAGTGCAAACAGAAAATCCGAGAAAAGACAGGAAAATATTGCAGAAAAAAAATCACCGTACACCAATGCTGTGTGCAAAAATCCCAGTGGGATGCAAGTCAAACAACAACAACCACAAGACAACTTAGATTAAGGCCATCAGTCTAACTCTGTACTACAGCAAACAAACATGGCTAAACCAATACACTTTTCGAAATCACAAAAATAAAGCTATGAGGGTGAGTGGAGGAAGACCCCAACGATATTTGCTCGCGAGCTCCAGCCAGCAGGGAGCAGGAGCGGTCCCCGAAAACCTCAAAGCGTCTCAGCTTGGACACGCGGTGGGGGAGCAGGGGAAGGGCAGAGGGGCGAATGGAAAGGGCAGAGGAGGGCAGGGGAAGGGCAGAGGAGGCAGGCCGGATTTGGCCCACGGCTTTGTTGTGAATGTAGCCCAAAAGTGGGTGATAAACTAATTCTAGATTTGAAGCTATCGTGACTGCAAGGATTAGTTCTTTCGGTAGTCACGTAGGTAAAAAAATGAAATTAATATTAATAAAAATTAAATAATAAACTCACGACGTTTCGGAGACAACACAAGTCTCCGTCATCAGGTGGGACCGTCACAGCCAGATTTGCTGCATCACTTGATGCAGCAAATCTAGCTGTGACGGGCATCACTTGATGCAGCAAATCTGGCTGTGACGGTACCACCTGATGACGGAGACTTGTGTTGCCCCCGAAACGTCGTGAGTTTATTACTTTATTTTTATTAATTTTAATTTCATTTTTTTACCTACGTGACTTTACCGAAAGAACTAAGAGTATGGGTGGTAAACGCCATCTCTCAGGCTAAAGGTGCCTTTAAGGGGGTGTGTGTGTGTGTTCGGGAACGTCGCCTCGGGTGTGAGTGTGGGGATTAAGGGGTCGTCCTGGGGTAGAGTACAAGGTGCTTAAACAAATGTTAAACACTTCTGAGAATTTGCAACAATACCACAGGAAATTAGCTGCTTCCGTGTCCTGGAGACCACCTGGAGAAGATTCCAGGCACGTGTTGACAATGATGGCGAACGAGTGGGAGACTGACTTTTTGAAGTTATTAACATTACATTTGTTATCATGTTACAGTGTAAATATATTATCCGTCATTATCCATGAAAAACGATAGTCTCATGTAAGTACTCATTGGTTCTTTCGGTAAAGTCACGTGGGTAGAAAAATAATATACAATTTAAAATTTAATATCACGACGTTTCGATCGCAACACAAGCGGTCGTCCTCAGGCAGAAAGAAATAATCCAGCAGTGGAACTGCTGTTACAAGAGGTTATATACCCCATGCAAGGGGTCGTCCATAAATGACGTCACGCACCTAGGTGGGGGGGGGGGGAGGTCAGACATTTGTGACGATGTGTGACGAGGGGGTGGGGGGGGTTTTGAGAAATGTGACGTCACATCAAAATGCGCAACTTTAAATAAATATAGACAACACGTTCTACTTAATTAAATAGACTTTTTAATTAATGTTTTCGACAACATCAGAGTGTAGCGCCACATTAAATACGCACTACAATGACAATAGTTTAAAGCGATTTGCAGCATGTTTTATTTATTTTGGGGGGGGGGAGGGGGGCAGAGCTTTGTGACGTCATATTTGAGGGGGGGGGGGTCTGACTTTTTGTGACGCCGTGTGACGAGAGGGGGGGGGGGGAGTCAAAAATCGTTCAAAATCGCGTGACGTCATTTATGGACGGCCCCTAAGTGTAAACATTTTTTTGAAGCACCCGGTAAAACCCGCACTGTTTTGTTACAGATATGCGCTATGGTGTGAAAGCAGGCAAGAGGGAGCTTGCATAAAAATCAAGGCCGTAGCCATGGAGTCAACATTGGGGGGGCCAAATCTGCTCGGGGGTCTGGGGTTCCCCCCCCAGAAAAAAAATCTAAATTTGAAAACTAATTTCCTGCCGTTTCCTGCATAAAATATTCATTTTTTTTACTAACACATAGGATGGACTTTTAATTTATGTTTTACAATAATGTTTAATAGTGTATTGTATTACATTGCTCTGTTTTTTCTTTTTTAGCTTTTCTTGTTTCATTGTATTTAATGGCAGAGATTAGGGATTAATAAAGTACAACCATAACCACAATAATATAAACAGAAATCTATTTGATAGCACTATATTGGGAGGGACATTTTGAGCATATTTGAATGTTGGGGGGGGATGTGTCCCCCTCAATATATATTATAATTACGGCTTCTACCGAGATTCAAGACTGCTCTTCAGGAGGGCCCTGCCACGTTCTGGATGTTTGGCCAATTGCATCGACGAATTGCTCGTTGTCGAAAATTGCTGAACAATCCGTTGCTGTACGTTACTTCTATGCTCTCGCGCTTTCAACCCCTAACCCTTCTCCGACTTGTCTGTGGTTCGCTTCGCCCCTGAATCTCTCTGTCTGTGTCCGAGAGCTGAACCCCCGTCTCTCGCATAAACTGCGTTGCGATGTCGTTGTATGTCTGTTGAAGGCGAACGATACGGCAAATCCATTCCTCTCGACGAGCTCTACACGATGCGCTCATCAAAGTTTCAAAGTTTTGTTTCTTCTGCGCATTCGTCCTCGCTGCTGCGCTTAGACACGACACGGCAACAGAACGATCTGCGCCAGGCGGGTCGCGGAGTTTATGTGCGCGGTGGGACGGAGTCGCCAAAAAGAAATTCATCAATTACGATTTTGACTTCCGTTCATTCGGGACCCCGGTGTCCCGCCGCCATATCGTCAACTGTTGACAAACAGCTGTGGTTTGCGAATTGAACAGCATCGATCATC